CGTTATGCATACGGCTCGACTTAACACTTTTCCGGACAGAGGTGAAACCGGCTATAGTTAGATAGTCAAGTCTTATCTAAGTCCTATACAGACTCCTTATTCATGGTCTTGACAGGAAGGGATCGAACAACTGTGCTATTATATCGCGAGAACCCCCCTTTGTCCAGTCTACAGGGGCATGATGGCTAGCGGGCGATTGTTAAATCAGGTTTTGATAGACTTGGAGCGCTAATAGCAATATTACCTGATGGAGAGGATGTAGAAGGTCATGCAGGCGGTGATGCAATGGGCGAGCATCGGGTGGGTTAAGACATCCAACATGGAATATGAGTTGTATTATGTCATAGCAAAGCTGCGCGAGATAAAAAGAGAATCCACTGAGTTCAATATACAGGAGAGACTCTGGGACCGAGATATTGTAATCGGAGACATATGATCACAGAAACCAATCAGAGAACCGGAGGTATGGGACCTTCTTATGATTTACTACCTCCTTAATTTATGCAGTTTACGTAGAGACTTGAATACTAGATAGGCTTTGCCTTGAAAATGTGGAAAATCTCAAAAGATCCAATTATGGCAGCCACCCCGACATGCAGAGGGTCCCGTTTATTTTAGGGTTGAGAAGGCAGACCTTGAATGTCCAGAACCTCGACCCTCCCTACTTTCTGGCTGCATCTTTAACGTGACTAACTGTCCAATGTCGAGAATAGAACAAATATTATCAGCAGCGTATAATTATTAGACTCATAAATGATACTCTGCATGATTTGTTCGTAGGTGAGTCGGGATTCGGTGAGCAGCCTCGGTGCACGGGATTCGATTACAATATCTCGATTCTCGTTTATAACCAGCATTGGGACTTCAAGCCCAACCATTCCGAAAACAATATTTGCTTCTCCATATCAGGTTATGTTGGGATAGTGATTCACAGTCCTCTCTTGCAAATTCGAAGCTATTTTAAATATCCTCGATCACCCTCGGGTACTTCCTTTCGAATCATTTCGAAAGCAATCCTGAAGCGAAATACGTTTTAGTTAGCGTCTGGCTATTTTGCACCCGATTATCAAGATATTCAGCAGCGAAACGACGATTCGATAGCCCTACCTCTCCTGATTCAGAGCGAGAATTTCTAGGGAGTGCTGACAGGATGCCTGGGGCAGCTGAAGCTTTCCATGCACTATGGAACAATTGTTCCTTGGCAATTGTCCTAGCTCTCACCAGCTATATGGCACTGGTTCAGCTTCTTCGGTACCGCCGCATGGCAAAGATAGAGGCCCCATTCGTCAATGGCGGCAGGCCATTATCAAGCATGACAGTCGAAGAAGCTCATGCGATTATCGCCCAACTGCAAGAAATGGAGTTTCCATATGCATTTGCTAAGGCTCGTCGAATGGCCCTACTAAAGGTACGATAAAGCATCTGTGGCTAGCTGGCCTAAGCGTATCGATGCTGGATTACCTGAACTAAGCCTATGCCGTACTACCAAAAACAGGCCGGAGGTATTCCGACGATGTCGAAGCTTTTCGCCGTTACTGGCCAGAACAACAGGCGTAACGCGGGTAAACGCGCTGTGGACACGGAGATCCTCTTACGGGAGTCGCAGTCCCAGCCTCGAGATTCGGACCGTTATGCATCAGCCGTGGCGAGAATGAATTATCTGTACGTAGGACACACACCCTTCCCATTCACCCTGGAAGCGAATGGCAGCCTCTCGTTTAGTTTACTAACTTGTCGTCGTTCAGCCATGCCCGCTACCGCCGTGCCAACAAAATTACCGACGATGATCTTCTCCACACCTTAGGTGATGGTCTTGCCGAGATCCTGAATGTGATTGAGAGAGAAGAGTGGCGAAAGCTTACGGATGTTGAGAAATGTGCCCTTGGCATTTTTCACAAGAACCTGGGCGAAGATATGGGAATCCCGTTTGATGCGCTTCCCTCAAATGCAGAAGGGTGGAAAGATGGCCTGCAGTTCGCGTTAGAACTGAGAAAGTGGACAATCCACTATGAGGAAGAAGTCGCGAGACCGACCGCAACAAACGATCAATACGTCCGAGTTTACGTGGATTCTGCGCTTCCCGGCGTCATAAAACCAGTGGTGCGGCAGATGTTGGGTGCTGACTTGGATGATATCATGAGGACGAGCCTTGGGTAAGTTCTGTGCCCCGTTCCAGTGCAAAAAGCGTACGTTGCTCACGGCCGCAGTCTCGAATCTCCCAGCTTTTTCCTCTCTATTGTGCTGGGCCTCGTCCGGAATTTACGAAAGCTAGTCCTTCGATATCTTGCGCTTCCACGTCCCTCCTTCCTTGCCGTCAAACTCGTGCATGATAAGCCAAACCCGGAAACGAATCTGTACAACTTCGAAAGAAAGGGCCTGCAACCATGGTACATCCGACCGACTCTCTGGTCAAAATGGGGACCCGGGGCGTTGTTGATTAGAATATTCGGGGGCAGGATGCCTGGTTCGGGCGGGGACCGGTATCTGCCTCAAGGATACAACTTAATGACAATAGGGCCGGAGCCACAGAAGGGAAAAGGATTGGAAGAGATGAGTCTCGACATGGAGGTAATCAAGGCGAGAGGTGTAGCCACATGTCCATTCTCTCAGGCAAAATCGGGTAGCTTCAAATGATGGGGTTTACAGTATATGGATATAGATAAGAAGGCATGCAAGGATGAGGAAAGGCTCCAAAACGATTACAGATATATTTCCACAACTTTGCTAGTGTTTTTGCGAAGGCTGATCTTCCATATTAAAATGTTAACCAAAGAGCTAGAGTACTAAAATCGAGGGATGGAGCCATCCGAAGCTGGTCTAGCTATTGTCTAAGTTTGCGCCGATAGTAAAAAGTCCAATGGATAACAGCCACCTCCTGCCATTTCACCGACACTTTCCATGGCATGTTACCATTCTCAATCAGCGACTTGGCAAAGGAAGTCCTAGAGCTAGTTCAAGGGCTTCAACAGGCGCATGGATACAAAGACGGAAGCGAAAGGAGTGCTCTGGCACTAACAGATTATTAGGGTCGCCCCCGAAGGTGAATGATTATGCTAACAAAAATAACTAGCCAGAGTTGGTGTATCGAAACCGCTAAGTCAACAGCTTGGCGCCAGATTAGGGGATAGACTATGTTAGCATTCCCAGCTGATACTCGATCACAATGCCTTCAAATAGTAAGGTTTCATCTGGACCCTCTTTCCCGCCTTACTTCTTCTCCCTATCGGGCCTCCCTTTCTCTCACCTGTTTGGCCTTGCGTACTTCTATTTGGGCTGGACTGACATTGACAAAGCCCTTAAACCCCAGCGCCTGAGTAGTCTTCTCCCTACCAGCCTCGAAATCGTGCAAGTGTGGTTATGTCTTAACCAGACTGACATGCTATGATGCGAGCAGCGCAGCTATTTAGGTTCACATGTTAACAGTAAGCACAGACTAGCTGGCGCCATTAGTACTTCCCCTAGACCTCTACCCAGGCATGGTAGACTGAGACAATCTTGCAGCGCTATGCGGCAAGATGAACGAGGGGTCTATTCCCAAATACAACTTCCTCAGGCCACCGTAAGTTATCCTCCAAACCGTCCTCCAGAAGGCCACGAATCTGTCCCAGGAGCACCGATGGCCAGCCCTGCAAATACCAATAGCCTCTCCCTAGACTCATCAGGGCGGCAAAATGGGCAAATATTACGAGTGCCACTTTATTCCGAGCAGAGCACATATCCAAGAAGGTGCTGTCAACGTTGCTTGCCCATCCCCATATCGCCCGGACTTGTGTCTGATCGTCCGGATTGTCCATAAGACGAGCAATACTGGCAAAGAGAGACTCAGCAGCGTCAAGACACACGGCCCTCTCCTGATCTCTGCACTGGCGGTCTATAAACACCCGTAGCCGCGCCAGTTGCGGACATTTTGATTCTAGTCCCTGGGTGGCCTCAAGCCGCTGTGGGTGGTATTTCGCCATAAGGAAGGGGTCCGAACAGACAACAATGCGACATGTTGCTGGGCGAGCACAGCCGAGCATCTACCAAACCGAATAATTTGCAGGAGTTCCTTGATTGCGTCCAAATGTGGTTGATGGCAGCCAGGGGGAAAAGGTCGGAGGAGAGGCTCTGCCAAGCCATACATTGAGGTCAGAAACGAGAAACTCAGTAGGGCTTGGTGCTGTGACTCTTCCAAATCCTGAAAGTGCGGCCGAGCCCGAGTGATCGCGGCTTGCTGGTGTGCGACCGCCCTGACGTACCATCTGGTCTGGGACCGGTCCTCGTCAAAGAGCTGGAGAGCGGCAAGAGCAAGAATGCTATAGAGCAGGTAGTGGTGGGAGAAGCCAAGGCGGACAACATTGTGCTCTAGTCGCCTGACTGGCCCTGTTATGTTTACTGGAACGTGATGCCGGTGCCAGTAGTCCAGCAACTCAAGATCGGCAAGGCTATCCTGGCTAAGCGGTGTGATGGTGAGACTAGGTGTGGAAAAGCTACATGTGATGTCGTGCCGCTTGCAGTTCAAGCATTGAGGATGGGCCTCATTGCACTGGTGTCAAGCCTCAGCCTGGGGGATCTCTGTCTGAGACTCCAACGGGGCGGGGTCAGATGGATGTATATGCACATATTCTGTTACAAAATCCCTTGTGCTTTTGACCCAAACCTTGCAATCACTTATCCATTGTCTAAGCACAAAAGCATAAATTATTCTTCAGGAATAGATGGCTGACTCTGTCCTTCGCTCTCAAATCTCATACCTCTCGCAGGCAAACAGTCAACAGCGCGATATTTGAGAGCAACCTCCGTATTCTGGAAACCCTCACGTTAAAGTAAAGTATATAGCTACATAACTTCAAATATTCGAGATATGCTGGTTCAAATATATGGCAGATTGCGATCTAAAGAAAGGCACGGTCCATAACAAAAGAGATGATACTTCAACCAAGATATTGCATACACACCATGTTGATGAGGGTAGCCAATGCAACGCCCCGTGGACCAGGCAATGCAAACATCTTGACGGACTATACATGGACTATTATCTTCCCTGTGCTCCTTCCAGACTTGATTTGTTCAATCGCCTTGGGCATGTCCTCAAACTCAAAAACGGAATCAATAACGGTCCTGACTTTCCCAGCCGCCATCCATTCGGATATCTGCTGGAAAGCCTCACGGTTGCTTTTTGCGAAATATGCCTTGAACTTGGCTCTCCCACCACCCAACATAAAAGGACAGAGCGTGTGTTTGCTGACTGTCTTAATTATTGCACCCGATAACCCACCAGGCACCATGACATATGTTGCCCCATCGGTCAAGAAGTCATCCGAAGCCTTGTATAGGTTCGTTTCCTCCCGATACGCATAGTCAACCACCAGGTTAAAAACCTTGCCCTTTCCCTTCAAGACAGACACTAGATCCTCCGTTCGATAATCAATTACCTCGTCAGCACCAAGTTCCTTGCAAAGATTGGCTTTGGCGGTTGAGCATGACACCACCACCCTGCACCCATGGGCTTTCGCAAATTGGATGGCAAAGGTTCCGACACCGCCTGTACCTCCATTGATGAAGACCGAATCGCCAGGTTTTGAATTCAGCACCAGGCTCTCGTAGGCGGTAATGGCTGCAGTGCCGACGCCCGCGGCCTGGTCCCAGTCAATGCCAGGTGGTATTGGCACACAACCTTCAATCTCGGCTTTTGTATACTCCGCCATGGAGCCTGGTTGGCCCTTTTGCGTGTCAACTCTGCCCAAAACGCGATCGCCTGGGTTCAAAGACGTAACATTGCTTCCAGTCGACACCACTTCGCCGCTGAAGTCCATACCAGGGATTGGACTGGGTTTAATAAGAGCTCTGGCCAGCCAGCCCAGCTCGGCGAAGGTAGGGTCTGCTGGGTTGACTCCCACACTCTTGACTTTAACGAGAACTTGGTTGGGCTTGAGAGGGCCGGAAGGATAGGGCTCGTCTTCCACAAGCGTCATGCCCTTTTCAAGAGGCAGCGCAGTGGAAGTGTGTCTCCAGGCTCGCATGGCGCTTGTTGCCGTCACTTTGGTTGTACTCTGTAATGAATGGAAAAAGTAAGCAATTCCGTTCAGTGCTTTTCTATAGCCATATCTCACGAACTGGCCATTCTCATGCGCCTTTTTATGTGTCACACGAGAGTTGGGATGCTGCTATGAACTTCCGGAGCCGGGGTTTTCGACACCCGATCGCTAGATCGGGTGGAATGAACGCAGGCTTAACTCCTGCTTCAGCAAATAAGAAACTGTGCTAAAGGCACTGAGGAGTTGGGCTACAAAGTTTAATTTGATCGCAGTTTTACTAGGCGGGATGTTCTCCGTAAGGTCCGATATCTCCAGACGGATTTTGAGAAAGCCCCCCTCGCGATGGCGGCTATATTAGGCAAACATGGGCACAGGAAGTATGTCAAATCTTGGTAGACAAGCAAGTCGACCACTCAGGCTAGAAGGCCAGGCTCCCGCCCGTTACTTAGGCTTGTGGTCTTTTTGCCGGCGGCAGCCCCGTCCCCAGCAGGGCACAGAACGCTAGTCCCATCTAGTGCAGATGAACTGCCCTTCGTGGCTTACCTTCCAAGGTTGTATTCAGAAAATGAAACTCTTCGAATCCATCCTAAGTAGTTGTCTACAAAGCCAGCGAGTCGATGAATAGACCAGACCATTATCTCGGGGAGATTTGATCGACCAAATAGTACTACTGCTTGCCTTTGCTGATCAAGACGGATATGGCATAGAGCTTCCCTATCGCATCCTAGAATGTATGGCGTGGGCCTGTGGCTGCATGGAGCAAACCTTGTCGTATTAATACGATGCAGCGGGCTTGGCGAGATGGACAAGGTTTTTTGCTTGGGGGTTGAGTGGCGCTACGGCCGCTACCAAAGCTAGGTTAGTTGCCGCTCCCACCGTATTTATACGACGGACGGCTGGTGGTCTCCGCCCTCCATTATCACCGTAACGCACGTACCCATTCAATGGTCTACCCCGTCTCCAGTGGAGCGTACGGGAGAATCGCCGCGCTTGATGGCCAGACAACGCAGAGCCCACGCCAAGTCCCACGGGGGCTGTAAGCAGTGCAAGGAGCGACATGTCAAGGTACCGTACACCCTTCCCCGCCCCGCGTGTGTTGACCGTTGGCAACTTGGCGTCTAGCCGTCCATCCGTAAATCAGACCTTGATTTGGGACATCTAGGATTATCAATCAATTTGACAATGACCCCAGAACCACATCTGAATGCTGGGAGGAGCAGGTCAAGGTAAGGATGGTAAGATAAAAGACGCCACGGAAGGCAGTAGCACCTTACGCGCGGTACTGGACGTTGCAGAGACGATTCCCAGAGATTTCAAAGCCGCGCGCCATGAGAGTTGAAGAACACGAGGCCAGGCATAGGTCGCCACAGACCCTTACGATGCAGCAAGTTCGTCGGAAAGTAATGGTTCACCGTAAATAGACGTTACGTACAGAGATAGTGAGTAGCATTTAACGTCATTAAATCCATTGCCAAATACCGGTTCCGAAGATTACTTAGCATAGCACTAGCATCTACATAAATAAATGGCAATACTGGTACTGTACCCCCGTGTTGCGTTGATGATAGAAAGGGGTCTAATAGAATCTATCCTGCATATCCGCCTAAGGAGTTGGTTATAAACACCATACACTAGACTGGGTGTGAATTCGTACTTTGGTCCAGTGGTAAATCAACATAAGGCGAGGGGTCGGGGCATAAAACGAAAATAACAACAACTACTGTAATGTCTATACTCGCATACGATAGCTAAGGAGACCCAACGCACAAAGCCTAGCTATCCTTCTGTCTGAGACCCGGTAGGGGAAGGTGAGACAAGGAGAGGGAGCGATCTGTAGTATTGACGGTCGTAGGCGATAGCTGAAGGGGCGAAAGACAAACGTCCAGCTATCCTTCTGTTCGGAGCCGCAGGGAGAGAGAGAGAGACAGCAGATGAAGAGGGGGTAGTCTGTAGCACTGGCAGTGGCACATCGATAGCTGGGAGATCTCACACGGCAAGATCCAGCTATCCTTCTGTTAGGGTTATCTTTCGGCGAAAAATGATTGGCTGCTCAGGTGAGGCAAATCAAGCTAGGTTTTACCCCGCCCTCTTCAACCTCAGAATCCTTTACGAGATATGTTGTATTGAGTGGAACTACACCGTTCCCCCCACCCCCCACCCCCCCAAAAAAAAAAAATGCTGTTTGATTTGTATTCCTATGGGGTTAGTTCCAAACTAGCCAAGCTATAAACGAAAACAGTGCATGTAGTAAGAACTCGGTTGCTGCCTCGTCGATGGGACAATACCACAACATACGTTCCACGGCAAACCAGAAGACACTACGTCTTCTCTAAAGAATGGAGAACCGTGGACGAAAGACTATCCTACCCTAGTCGGATATGGCGTGCATTATACTACATGAATCTGTTCTTATATAGTCAGGACCATGACCACCTTCTGTTGTGAACCCAAGGACAGAGTTTCCTAGATCCAGTGTTAGACAAACAAAAGGTACAAGCGTAGCCAAATCTAGCACTGTATGATTGCACACTAGCGTGACTGCCTTCTGCTATGAACAGAGAGAAGGTGTTTCCTGTATAAAATGTTAGCTATGTTCTGTAGCCAAGCTTAAACACCACTTGCCATCTATGAAGCTTCGGAGATTTATTTGAGGCGTTTAAAACCTCCGCAACCTGCTGCATTGTATGGTGATCTAGACCCAGTGCCTTCTCATACCCTGCCAGTGCTCACTGAAACATCTTCTCTGCCTTGTCTAGCTTGCTCTGATTGCGGTAGAGAAGACTAATGTTATTAACTACTCCTAAGGTAGACGTATGGTCTGGGCGTATTACCCTCTTAATACCCTGGTAGTGCTTGCTAGAACATCTTCTTTGCCTTTCCTAGCTTGCCCTAGTCAAGTAGAAACCACTAATATTATTAACTGTATTAAGTATGGAGATATATTCTTGGATAAGTAACAACAAGATATACAGAGCACTGTCGAAAAGAAAACTGTTGACTTTCTTTGATGTCGAGCTTTCCTGATGAGTGATAATCCCTTGTGCCTCATCCTTGGTTTCTTTAACTACCGAATAATATCAACCAGCAAAGAGTGTGAGCCAGTGTCCAAAGCGCTGGAAGGATCCTATCTACACAGTAGGCAATTAGGGCAGCAACCCCTGATCTTCGTCATTGCTGAGCCTTATCTGAGCTTACTAGGCAATTGATATATCTTCCTTGTTCTTACCTATATCAAAGCTTTTGAAATTAACGTACGAAAAGGGCACGGCTGTTTTCTGATAAAGTCTCCAACGATTGCGTTCAAGTACAAATCCATATGCCAAGGAACATCCTGGCCCCAGAACAGTATTCCCCGATGGGGCGAATAAGAATGTACTCCGAAATGAACTAGATGTGTGAGACGCCTCCAGCTGTGTTTCAACGTAATAAATCGATTCGGCACTGGTCTGGTTGACAATGTTTGAGGGACATAATTCAGAATTAGTAAGCCCCTTTCTCGTCCAACAACTCGATAATTCCTCTGTGACCTTTCGCTTTCGCAATCGACAATGTTGTGGCCCCTTGGTTATCACGAGCGTTAGGGAAAGCCTTGCGCTCCAGTAGCAGTTTGACGATTTCTTCCTGGCTGTTCTCTACTGCCCACATAAGTGGTGTTCGAGAAGTATATAGATCTCGCGGGTCAGGGTTAGCACCCTTATCTAGGAGCAACTGGACAATTTCCAGGTGTCCTTTCTGTGCCGCCCATGACAGCGGCGTCCGACCATACCAATATTCCCTTTGGGCCCAAGGTGGCTTAAGACGATCCGGTGCTCGGGCCTCTAGGTCGGCACCTTTAAGAAGTAACAGGCGCACGATACCTACATGACCATGCTCCGCAGCCCATGATAGCGGCGCCCTAGCAATCCCTGTCATAGTATCTGGACTTGCCTCCTTCTCAAGTAATGAATTTACGGTTGCTTCATGCCCATTCTCTGCAGCCCATGAAAGGGAAGTCCGACCATTCATGTCCCTAGAGTTTGGGTTTGAACCCTTGTCTAGTAGGAGCCTGATAGTGCCGTCATGACCTTTCTCTGCAGCCCAGGAAAGGGGAGTCCGACCCATTTTATCTCTAGAGTCATGGTTTGATCCATTGTCCAGTAGGAGCTTGATTACGCTCTCATGGCCCTGCTCTGCAGCCCTTGAGAGTGGAGTTCGGCCAGCTGCATCAGTAGAGTCAGGATTGACTCCCTTGTCTAATAAGAGCTTAATAGTCCCCTCTTGGCCCTTCTCCACAGCCCACAAAAGTGGACATCCAGAATTGGCTCCATTCTCCATTAACAGATTAATAATGCTGTCATGACGCTCTTCGACGGCCCATATAAGTGGAGTCCGGCCGTTTTTGTCAATGGAGTCAGGATTTGCTATCTTTTCAAGTAGGATTCTGACAGTGGCCTCATGACCGTTCCCTGCAGCCCATGAAAGGGAATTCCGGCCATTTTTATCCCTAGAATTTGGGTTTGAACCCTCGTCTAGTAGGAGCCTGATAGTTCCCTCATGACCTTTCTCCGCAGCCCAGGAAAGGGGAGTCCGACCATTTTTATCTCTAGAGTCAAGGTTTGATCCTTGTTCCAGTAGGAGCGTCACAGTGCCCTCATGACCGTTCTCTGCAGCCCAGGAAAGGGGAGTCCGACCATTTTTATCTCTAGAGCCAAGGTTTGATCCTTGATCCAGTAGGAGCGTCACAGTGCCCTCATGACCGTTCTCTGCAGCCCAGGAAAGGGGAGTCCGACCATCAGCATCAATAGAATCACGATTGAAGCTTTTGTCTTCAAAGTTGTGCACGAGCTCAAAGAATTTAGCTTCTCGATGAAGATTAAAACCTTCCCTGACAACATTGTAGTAAATCTTCATAGGTTCAAGGACTTTCTCAAGTAGTTGCTCCACGCGTCCGGTGGAGAACTCCTCATTCGGCGTTATCCAATAGCGCTCATGAGCGTTGGTAAAGCAGAATTCTACCGCGCCTTTCACGGGCGGTTGCAACGCCATTATGATTGACATATTTGATGAGTATTCTCTATTAATATTTTCTTTTGGCGTGAGATGACCCGCGTTATTACGAGAAAGCTCAATGGGTGATGATAAGAAGAGCTCTGCAAGAAGGATTCCGAAAAGGTATAGCCTGTCCTGTAATCTTGCCTCCAGGCCGCAAACTTGACATTGCGCGGAAGGTCGAGGGGTGTTATCCTCGCCATGGAGAGGTGCTCGCCGGTTTGTGACATTATCGGCTCTATGTTCGGCTAAAGTCAATTCGCTGTAACCAGTTTGTGGTGAGTAGATATGCTCAGGCCGCCGGAGTTCTGCCGTTCTCACTCTGCAAGCTTCTTCGTTCGGGAATAGGATGCAGCGAAATGAGCAGCTGCAGATATGTGAGAACCAATCCGTCTCCCACAGTAGGATCATCCACATAGTAAAGCCAACAGCTACCCTGGCTCTCTCGAGTTCAAAGGCGTTTCGAACTATACTGTCCTCCCTGCTTCCATAAAGCAAGTTTCGCCAATTTTCAGTCCATATGCGGGGGGTTCCATTTGCATACAGTTGAAGAGTTGCAAGGTCCTGTATTGCTACCGTATAGATGGGCTGTGTATAGAACTCCATAAGGGCTGTGGCTAAATCGCTCGTTGTACACCGTTCTGGCAAGAATGCACCTTCGATTCGTTTTAGATTGACTTCCTTGGACATCAACGGCCCATTTGGTGATACGTTAACCATGGTAGCTAGAGATATATTGCAGCTTCTCATGATCTCGTCAATTGCCCTTTCGCCGTCCGTAAAATCCTCCGGATAAAGCAGTTCCAGACTCCATAGAGAAACTGGAAAGCGGCTGCTTTGCTGGTGAATCGAGGACAATAATTGGCGAGCAATAATCCTGAACTTTCTCTTTTTCAAAGCTGCGTTCACGTCCTGACGCTGCTTTGGTGGGTCTGTGCCGTGACCCTTTAATACGTAACAGTCATTGGATAGTTTATGTAAACGAGTAATCTCCTCATTCAATTCATTGACTCTCTTGTCAAGAAGTTGATTGGGCCCAAGTATCCCTAGGATCATGCGCAAAATTGAGGGATCTGGTCGTGGGAGAGGATCATCGCTTTCCAACGAAGCTGTGTAGTCTTTCCAAGTCTGAAATTTCTCGAAATCCAACCCAATTGGAATCGTTGTAACAGCATTATTCTTTCTTTTAGAAAAGCGTCGTGATAGTAACGTCAACACGTGTTCTAAGGCTTTCTTTACCTTGGCAAGGGCTGGAATTTCTGTGGACTCCGCAACCGAAGACGCTGATTGTAAGTTTGAATACTTCTCAAGGCATAGATAATCATGGATGTCTGTTAGAGCGATTTCAATTTTTTCCTTGCTCTCCTTTATATGTTTCCATCCGCGAGTGCTGAACAATTCAGCCATTATGGAATCTGTCTCTTCTGGTCGATCCCAAACCACAATCCATAGATGAAAGCTTTTTTCACAGGCAAATATAATATCCTGCAATCTTCTTAGCTTCTTTTCAAGATTGAACATTGCGTCACCCTTTTCAACAACGGATGGAATGGTGTTAAGGAAGATGTTGAGAATAGTAAGAGATAAACTAAAAGCTGTCAGAGGATCCATCATAAGTGCAGGTGAAGCAAGATGTCGAGTTTCCCACCAAACCCACAAGCCGCAGACGATGGTAGTCTTTTTAGACCATTTGTTTAGGAGACACATATTCAATGAATGACTCCATGACTCCGCAAGGATACTGCACACGGTGTTTGGCTGTCTAGTCAATGTCTGACGTTCGATGATGTCAAACAGAGGTGGCAAAAGTGCCTCTACAGAGCAGAAATAGCCGCATGCGGACTTGCCATGTATGACAGCCATACTATTAGACTTATATGTAGTGGACAAGCTTAGAATGAGGTTTCTTTTCTGTTCTCTTTTTGTTTTCCAATTATGTGGGCAATATGACAGAACTACCATCTATATCAGATTATGTGCGCTTTATGACAGAACTACCATCTATAACACAGTATTACTACGGGATCGTGGAACGGATGGAACTCATGTCTCTCGACCAACAGAAGCATGGGGGCACTCATGATGCTGTATTCTTTGACGATATGCTCGTCAAGCTAAGACTATGGCGTGCAGATCTCGATTTGGAACAGAACACTCTTGCTTGGGCCGAAAAAATAGATTACATTCTGGGCCCAATCCTAGACTGCTTTCAGGGCATCGATGCCAAACTCACTGATTATAACGATATATCAGAGTCCACAGGAGGTAGGTCTGTACTCGTTTACCGGTAGGATCAAAAGTTTGCTAACTCAGTTGGCCAAGGGTTTGGGAGGAATCTTTTGCACGAATCTCCCCGCTTGAAAGCCATAAAAAGTGAACTCTTCAGGTCCATCGAAAAGCTAATAGCGCTCTCCTCACCTCTGAAAGCTGCCAAATCAATTCCGGAAAGCGAAAGAACAGAAAGTAAACTTTCAGAGATCAACATCAGACTTAAAAACTTAAGACTTTCTATGAACACACCGAAGTTGTACTATCTTCTTCGGAGCCCAATTCCTATCTCGGTATCTCCAGTTAGTCACCTTCTGGGAGCTGTTACAACAGATTATGGTTACCCTCTGAATTGGCTCATCCCTCCGATTCAAATTGACCCCGAGTGGGTTACAAAATCCGCCATGAAGGATTATAGATATTCTACGGAGAGACTAGTGTCTGCAAACGTTAGCATACCTTCTATCTCCGCGGAAATAGGTGGTATATCTGGAATAGGTGGTATATCTGGTCGGTGGACAAAGAAGGTTGAACGCTATACTGAGTTTACCACTCCCGTTGTCGCCACATACTCTTTGACTATGATACATGACTACTTCAAGAGTTTTCTGGATACATATAGGGACACAGTGGTAAGAGAGGTACACCAACATGCTCTGTACCTGATCGTCGGCGTCAAGTCCGGCGTCGTTGATGATGGACAAGTAACAAGACAACCGGAAGTAAATATCGCAGCAGCAGATATACCCACGTCCACATCTCGTTCTGACACTGAGTCAAGAGGTTCGGAGAAAATATTTGCTATTAAGTACATGGTGATTAAAAAGCCATGGCTACTAGGTTCTAGTCTTACGTTAAGGCAGTTCTGATGGGGACAAACATCCTTCAGGGACTTAGAGAGGGAGGAAGGGCGAGAGGGAAATAATGAGGTATTCCTTTTTATAGGAAATGTGACGACTGTCGCTTGCAGAAGAGGACGGATTTCGTTGAAATTTCGCTATTACCAGGATGAATAGAATGCTCGGTGTTTCCTCCTACGTTGTCCCTGTCAAAGAAGAGATCCGATCGAATAGCAGATTTTTCTCTCTTGCCTTTTCTGTTTCCTTTTTGCCCCCTTTTATCCTACCTGGATAGGTATTCTGAGACTAGTAGGTTAAAGTAACGTCCGTGCCGTATATCTGGGATGCATACATGTGGAGCAAATGTCGCTCAAGATCAAGTCCCCCAAATCTTGACAGTTTATACATCCTCAAAGTTATGAGATGCGGAGAAATATGTTCAGGTTAGCATTTAGTTGCCTGCATTAGGACATTATTTTTGGGTGTCTTATTGTTCTTTTCTCTGCTACAACTTCCCTTATTTGGATTATAGATCAGTTAAGCTAAACTAACACTTGTGTGGGAGGACGCGGCTCGATAACATATTCTTCATCACCATCGGATGAATGTAGATTGGGAATAGCAGCTGCCGTCTTGCGATTGTACTAGAATCTGTCAAGCCTGTCCTTGGTCGAACCAATCGAAGCTTGAACATAGTTTGTACTGCGACACCGTAACTGAAAGCCTGCTTTCCAAACAGTCAGGTTCCCGTCGATGGATAATGTGCGGCAAGTGAACTGCTAGTCTATTTCCTTAACTCCTTTCCCTCTCACCAAAACAGATCTATCAAGAAGTCCGCATTTCTGACCTATACAGTATGACGGGGTGCCCAGCAGAAATAGTGCTGATGACAATATGTGAAGAAATTTGTTGCTGAGACATGATATAGTGCCTTGCCTTAGTTTTCAATTCAACGTCTGATTCGATAAGTTAATCTAGGGTTCGGCACGAATAAATATTCGTAAGACATTGGAATATTTGCATTTGCATTTGCAAATTTCGAACTTGTATGTGTTGAGAACAAGTGATAATAAGATTGACTAAAGGTTATCTTTTACAGAGGTGGGATGCTTCATGTATATCTGTCCCCAATTTTGCCATAGGTTTCAGCCACCGTGATGTTCAACACCTAGTATGTGAGACAAACATGTTGAACTGCTATTACACACTGAAGAATGGGCAACTAAACAGCTGGCCAGTCACTACTTGTTATACACCTTCACTAAAACTATGTGATAGCTGATAAATGAGTCTTGCGTATTTGGCCTCGTTCCAGAAGCTCACACAATCTTAATATAATACTGAAAATGTCCATAAAGAAGACGACTATTGTTAGAGAAAGACATCCTATTCTGACCGAATTCTGACCTTAATAAAGGTAGGCTTCAGAAATAGCAACTTTACCATGCAAATCCCAGTTGTTCAGCATACCCAAGAAGAGTGCCACAGTAACTGTCCGCCTCCCAAAATGTGATGTTGTTTTCCCCAGAACTATTGCCGCTACCAATATCAGCCAGTTCAAGACCTCCATTCGTACCTATCTGGGGCCATCCGGGCCCACCGTCTGGGTTCTTCGCAAAGCTGGCCCATGCCTGCTGCATATACTTGCTGAGAGCAACTTCCTGGTCCGTTGCATTCTCAGTTGGATAGGTACCGAATACTATCGGTACCTCAGATGCATGAACCGCGCCTTCTCCAGGGAATGTTCCTGTATCATTCAAAGAAGCTGAGTAACGGTATCGCCAGACCTTGAGACCATGTCCACTTGTGTAGTTGGCGATGGCCCCTGTAGGGCAGGTGAAGACTGTATCTGTAACAATGCTATTCGCTGGTATTAGCCTTCGTCCCCTTCCATTTCTTCAGAGCGAAATAACGAATGTCATACCGGCTAATGTCTGGCCAGGTCAAGTTACCCCCCACCAATTTCTGAAGCTGCCCGATAAATAAGTTACAGAGAGGCTTTTGTATGTGGATTGCGGCGCATATGTTGTCCAAGGTTTGGTTCACATTGAAAGTGCCACCGCCTGAGATTAGGAACACCAATTGGCTTAATTCATTCTTGTTCGTCCCAATGATCATTGATACGTTAGCAAATGTGCCATTGTTGATGCTGTTTCTTATATCCGAGACAGAAGTCGCATTGTCGGCAACTGGTTTAAAAAACAGATTATTCTTCGAGACATAGTCTTGAATGCTGCTCATCGAAACGTTACGAAGGCAATTGATATCAGTGCAATTGAAATGTTGCGAAACATTCTGGTAGTTCGCAGTTCCATTTCCGGGCAATTCAAGTGCCTCTGATTCGATAATTGCTGCTTGAAATGGAAGTGGCGAAGGTGGTATAGCAAGAAGCTGCTTGGCTGACCAGCCGCCAGCGGACTCGCTAAATACTGTGACCTTGCTTGGATCACCACCAAACTGTTTGATATTGTTTTGAGTCCAATTGAGAGCTAGCCGTTGGTCGAGAAACCCGGAGTTTTGCTGTCCTGAGGGAATCTCCGGGGAGTTTGAGAAGCCAAACACTGTAGGCCTGATCAGTCCTTCGGTGCTATAAAGGAAGACTGGGTATGCAACATACTGCTTAAACGGTAGTTGGGAATAACAAGCACGACGTTCTCATTGATTGGCAGTGGCGAGGCAGTGTACAAGGACTGAGACGCAGAGCCGCCAATCAGATCTCCCTTGAGAATAGCTCAGTCTATGGCATAAATTGCAATTACTGGTACAGAAGACTTACCCCATGGATCCAGAACAGGACTTCCGTTAGGTTTGACGAAGACGAATTTTGTGGTGCATATACGTTTAAATACAAACAGTCCTCGCTCTGTTGAATATCTCCAGCTACTGGAAGTGCCAGCTGTCTTTCCAAGCTGAGGCCGTTGACTAAATCATTTAGTTTTTAGCAGATTGTATATTTCTCCTCAGTATGATTAAGGAAAGCTAACCTGAAATATTTTGTTGAGGACATGAGGGTGCCAGGGACTGTGCCTGTAACGGAGTTGACCATGGCTCCGGCGCTTCAGGAGGGGAGAATCTTTGTGGTGGGGATTTTGCAAATGGAATGCCCAAGAAAGCATTTACTACTGCAGTAGCGCTTTGTTGATTAACTGGTGTGACTGTAGTTCCTATCACAACGCCTGATGAGATGGTCACAGTTGGGTTTGCTATGACTATGGTTGCTGTGATTAGGAAAGCTAGCGAAGATAAAAGACTAGAAGCCATGGCGTTTGTTGTTGAATATAGTTTACAGTGCCTAGGGATCTTGTTCTTATATAAAAGAAGATAGAGCCCTTACGTGTTGAGCAGGGAAAATAGGGCCTTGAGCAAGAGCTGGGCTTGCTCGGCATTTATAATGATGAATAATAAAGAAGGCTTGCAACTTTGTGATATTACTTCATTGTTTGCAATTGACAGATGAAAACGGCGATCTTCGAAGTCTGTTTCGTGGTAAACTTCAATTAAGGCGGCTGTGGCCACATCACCCCGGCTTCACCTGTACTAAGGGAACCTTATTTTGCACCGTGAGCAGCAACATGACAGCGCATAACTGCCGTACTGTTCATTCTATCTCTCCTACTAGATATATCCCTTATATTTAACTTTGCTTGGTGATAGCGTAGCTTGTCCCCGTATTAGATGCTATTAGTAGGGCGTAATCGTGGTCCAACATTTAGTCTATTCGAAAGATTCAAAAATTCAAATAGACCCTTATGCTCATGCTGACGTTCTCAATTTCGTCAGTATTAACACTTGGGGTGTTGCGGCTTTTTCTACAACCTTGTATGTGCACCGCGTAGCCAGATTTATTCCACTTAATTGCGGCATGGGAATCTTTTAAACCTATGGAACACAGTGAGAGCTACCTTTTGATCATGCTGTGGAAATGCACTATACTATTATAGTTTGGCCTCCGAACCACTCCATAGTTGTCCCAGAATAAGCATAATCGATAGCTAGGAACGACAAGATATATACACAGCGACCCCGATAGCATCTTGATACTTGGACTGGTAAGAGTGGCTCTTCTTTCCGGGGACAAAATGACTGGAACTACGGTTTCAAGGCTCTTATTCCCGGAGGAAATATCAGATCACCAGTCACTTTCGCCCTGGACATCTACGGCGCAGGGCGCACCTGGTTTTTCCCAGCTTGACCCAGATCTGTTGAGATCGGCCTGTAACAACCCCAGTAAAGGTGTCATGGTGTTCTTTCAGTGCGGAATCCTGACCCTCCGTGGGACAGTACCTGCCTTTGGGATATTGAACTGTAGCCGCCAAATGCCTAATTTAGGGAAATAAGCTGAGTTCCAAAAGAATAAAACTAGGAGCTGCAAGGAACATATTCTCCCTAAATCTGGTAGAATTACTAAGCCCCTAAATATACTTCTAAAGAGTGAAATGGGTTCTATAAGAGGTGGTTTGGTAGCTAAGAATAACTCTTTCCAGAGGGTGGACCTAGACCTAGCAGTAAGGAGCACTTCTGATTGTATTCGTATATAACTGTATAAGGGAAGCTAAGGGAGAATTAATGTTATTAAATTTAGTAAGTATAACTATTAACTTTATTTTTTCTACTATAAGGATATAGAACTTATTTGATAGGAGCTGAATTACTAGATTATTGTATAGTAGGCTGTTGATGTTACTCCTTCTCCTATGTAACCCCTAGAGCCCTTATCAGCCCCTAGAGCTATTATTACCCCTATAAGCTATCACCAGCACCCTAAAGCCCTTATTACAGCATTCACACTAAAAGTATCATGCTGCATATTTAGGGTCAAAAGGGCTGCGTAAGGATTGACTGCATTCTATATATGGCTTAAGTATAGCTAAAGGGACGGGGAGCCCTGTTTTCCACACCCTATGGTCGTATGTGCTTAGATGGTGTTATTTAGAATTGGTTGTACTTAAGAGTGGAAAGTAATATAGGCTTATAGACCTATGTGGTTAGATACCACTCCCACTGGCTTTAACAAGCAAGGGAAAGAATGTCCGAATTCCATAACCTAAGATATGTTCCAATCCGTTAAAACTATGGAGAGATTGTGCTGTTGTACTGTTGTAGACATAAATAAAAAACCACATGTCATCTCAGGCGCTAGGGAAGGTGAACTTGTAATTCACCTTCAATCCATCTTCAATTCACCTTCATATAACCCCGAAACCAAAAGCCTGACGTTACTCGGCCCGTGCTTTGGTGGAGTCCAGGCTACGGCTTCCGCTGCTGCTTCTTGCTCTGAATTCTTCTCATCTCTACACCATGCCTGATTTTCGACAAGTTCTGCTATAATCTACTGCAATCTCCTGCACCTTTATCTAACTGCTAGCTGCAGCAAGGACTCTTCAGAACTCGACAGATCTGGCATATGATGCCATGATCACCCTTTTACACACCCATTTTCGCCATTGTGGGAATATCATGCTTGTGCTGTGGGCTAATCCAAATATAAACCTTTCTATGCGCCAAGCAGAGCAAGAGCGCCATGCTATAATGGCTTGACTTGAGAAAGTACTTTGCCAAGCAGATAAGCTTTATTGCACTCTTGCTCAACAGGGATGTGAATTTTTGATGTTTCCATCTCTGGCAGCATTTAAGCTGTGTTTGGACGGAGCCAAGGAAACTGGGGGTATATTTAAAGCGGCTAACTGGGATTTAAACCAGGGTGCTGAATCCCGCGTCTGGCGCAACATTGAACTGAATACAGTAAAGAATGAATTATCAAGCAGCACAAGCACAGATGGGAAATCAGGCTACTAGATTTGAACAAGCTTCTTTGATTGGTTTTAAAGGGAGGATATGCGATTTGTTTGACATGAGAGTGGAGGTATGTGAGTTCCACTTGGACTGCAAAGTGATTATAGACGTCATGTACCTGTCTGGTTGGAGATTTCTTACTGACCACAATAGCAAGGAAAAAATGTCTGAATCTACAACCTGAGATCTGTTCCAATCTATCAAAGCTGTGGATTACACTCTATCCCCAGTTTTGTGCTCCTCGTGGTGTTAGAGACCGAAACGAGTCCGCCACCTGTCAGAGAGAGTGTGAAGAAAATAAAGTTATTAGGGATCTTAATCCTCAATCATCTGAACAACACAGAAAGGAAAGCCATTTGACATCTTCTACTCGCTAGATCTGGATTGATCCATTAGATTCCGATCCTTGACACGATTGTTGGTTGATCATACGATCCATCAACGACTAAGTGGCGTCGGAGAACATACAACAATGGCTCGGCAATCCGCCCCGCTGTAGATCTCGATCAATCATCTATACGGATTACAGACTACATTTCAATCCAGAAATCGGACCGCTCTTCTCGAATGGTAACTAGGACATTAAACTCTCTTGAAATACATGGCATTCGAGACAAACATAGTCTTCTGACCTGGTCCAGATTTTAATAAAAGCCTATATATCGAGCTTGGACACCACTACGTTCCCATTTCATCTCTACCATGAATATCACTTACAACAAGTGACACAAACATCCTCCATCATGCCATCTGGTTCTTGTTTCTGTAAAGCACTCCAGTACGAATTTAGCGGCGAGCCTCTCACCAAGGTATGCCAAACCCAGACTCTGCTGCCGCACCACAACTCCATACTCCATATTAACTTGGCTTTAGGCCGTCTGCCACTGTCTCACCTGCCGGAAATTCAGCAGTGGAAGCTCCGTCAACATCCTAGTCCCTAAGGATCACTTCCGCCTTGTGAAAGGGACCGCAAAGCAACACCATGAAACCCATGAGAGCGGCATGCACCTGACTCTCAACTTTTGTGGGAGCTGTGGCTGTCTGCTGTACAAAACAGCCGATCGGAAGGAGTTTGAGGGTGGTGTGATTGTTCTAGCTGGGACGCTGGATGATCCTCGGGCATTTGATGATGCCAAACCCGAGGCGGAATTCTTTGTCAAACATCGAGCTTCGTGGTGGCCGGCTCTTGCTGATGCAAAGCAGTTGCAGGAGTTTGACTGATTGTATCCTGTGTATGATTGACTTGAGTGCTTTTGAGAAGTCTATTGAAAAGCTTGAATGGTAATAGGTATTAATTCGACTGCTTCTCTGGCTTGAATAGTAGAGGATATACTTGCAGAAATGCATAGCGTGTGTAGAACCCGCATCCCTATACTCTATAAGATCTCTTTGATTTGAGACAATGAGGCAGCTACTGATACATACCTCAACGCTAAAGCCGTCAGTTCAAGTGATATACACTGACCATGATGTCATTGTCCACATGGAGAAAGAAACATATTAGAAGCAAGTGTCGCGGCATAAGGGCAGATGGGTGTAGAACACATGGCTAACTCACAGCGATCCTTCCCGACAGCTTAATGGTTGTAAATGAAGCACTGACTATATCCAATGGCAAGCATAGGGAGACTGTGGGGTCAGGCTATCACACACCAAGACCCATAGAAACCTTGGAAAGGGAACCGCGCAACTCCACACAGTGCATCACACGCAAGTAGAGAGGCATCGAGTGATCTGTAGCCTTGAGCGTGGGTGGAAACCTGCTTCTTGGCGATGGCGGAGGCTTGGCTCATCCATAGCAAGGTACGACTGCAGGCGAAGACGGATTGTATTTGTACCATGTTTTTCCTAGAGTTAGTACTGCCGATCAGTGGGTCTCTATGGCCAAGCCTCTTAAATCCCTGCTAGTGCTTCCTGGGATCCAAATCAAGGTTGGATCACTGGTGCCTAAACAGACTAGTCTAAAAATAAACCCACTAAGCCACATCAAGTTCCTTGCACTCACGAGGTGTATGGGCACATGACAGGGTTGCAAGCCCGAATCAGACTTTTCAGACCTTGTTAAACAGTTGGATATCTAATGACAAGTTGAATCATGACTTCAGAGCTATGTGAACGACCTAGCAAAATCACAAGACGTACTGTTGGGCCTCTAGACAAGCGCAAAAACACAAAGCGCTGTCAGCTTTGTGCGGACCGACGGGCAAAGGTTTGAGGAACTAGCCCGTGGCAATGAGACCAGTCAAATTTACATGATATACAGTGTGATGGGGGGCACCCCTGTGAAAGATGCGTCCGGACAAAGAAAATCTGTGCGCGCGCAGCGGCCAGAGCAGACAGGAGTGAAATTTGTCCATGTTTCGGGACATGCATTGTCTTGTACAATTCCCATGCAAGTGCAGAAGCATGACGACGCCATATATCTGGATCATTTTGCATCCTTCCTTCAGCGATGCCACTTTAGCAAAGGCTTTGCTGCCACAAATGCAGACATAGTCACTATCATTGGAAAATACCCTCTGCTTTTGCACATTGCTATCGCAATCGGGGCTTTGGATGCTAGTAGGAAAGGCTCTATCAGATCATTTGGTGAGCGTGAGTCTCCTCAGCATATTGCGTTCCGGGCTTGCGGTAGGTCAATACAAAATTTGCATTCAGCAATCTCGACGGCAAATCGAGTCTTTAGAGACGACGTGTTTTGGAGCACATTTCTCCATGGTCTTTTTGAGGTATGATTATATTTATAAGATGGCAAAATTCCACTAACCATCCACACAGCTGATGGCTGAAAAATCCGGCAATTCATTCGCAAACCACTTGGTTTTCGGTGCATCAAAAATGCTGCTCCTGTTGGAACCTACAAATCCGCATTCATTATCCACGAAGAGCTTGATTGATGCATTCTGGATTCTTGAGGCCAACAGAGCCATTCTTTATGGTGACCATATTACACTTTCTCCAGATCAATGGCAGTGGAGTTCAACGCGAGAAAGCTGGCCAGATTCCATGAAGGAAATTCTCATGTTGATGATACAGACTTCCACATTTGCTAAAAGGCAAGTCAACTTTTACTAACTTGATTGCGGGGCGCAGCTAAACATTCTAGACTTTTTGACACAATTGAGAGCATTCCTCACAACTTGAGACCCTTTGATACCACACTGGATGCTCTTGCCCTAGAAGGACTCGAGATCAAAAAAAGTCTTCTCAATTGGCAAGAAGGAAGTCATTTTCAAACGTCGCCCGTAGAGCCTTTTACCCGATTAGCCGTCATCGTTTACCACGCTCTTCTTTTATATCATTGCAGAAATTTTACTTTTTATTCATGCTGGATGACACGGACAATTCCTCAGCTTAACCAAGGTGAAGTCGACAAACATGTCGCCACAATTTTGGATCTGTCTCCACGTCTTCTCTCGGATACATATATCCCAGCAGTACTCCTGTTATTTCCTCTGCGAATGGCTGGAACCCACGTTCTCAAGCGTCGTGCACAGGAGAAAGTATTGAGCATTATTCGCAAGATACGGCAAAAAGGCTTCGTCGTTTCAGATAGAATCGAAGTCGATTTGCAAGAGTTTTGGCAGATTCGGGAGATTGACTAAAGCGAATGAAATGCGAGTATTATCAGTTACTATCAGCCTGAGAGGACAAGAGAGGGTTAGTCCTTGACTCCCTTGGAATTGCGGAACCACAAAAAAAAGGGGTTCGACAGTATCCCAGGGCAGGGGCATATGGTGAATCGCATGATTCAAGCTCTTGGGCCCCCGAGAGCTGTAGTCATCGGGATACAGGCTGCCGCTCATATTTGCACACGATCAATGCCCTGGAGTTCTGTCAGCGCACGTGGGCGGTACTTACAGCAGGGAGACGCCCGATAAGATGGGAAGCCTGAACGAGAACCAGTCTTGGAGGTGGCAAGAAAAATCATCGCGTCCGAGAGAAAATCAAGTTACAGTACTAAACGTGAGAACGGCGCGTAGGTTGACGATAATTTTCTGTCCATGACAAGCTAGTTCTCGAATACAATGAAATTTATTCCAGAGGACTTGTCGATTGAGGGTTGCTCTTTCACACGATTCAGATTAACTAATTTCGATTGTCATGTCATCGACAAGACGAAATTTGGCAACTAATCGATTCTCACGAGAGCATATCTAGTTTGGTGTTTGGTCGTCGACCAAACGTTGTTTCTTTTGGGCAGTTGGTGTAATAACCGATGATAGAAACTCTACCGCTCCTTCTGCGCAAATCCGTGATGTAGAAGCAGCTCAGGCTTGGATGTTGAAGTATTCAGTGATAACTCGGGTACGCAATCCAGGAGAAAAATAGTCGTACCCAACCACGACGTTGCAGTTGCTCACGTAGACGGTGACAGGAATAGCTCCCTGGTACATAATATTCCACTGATGAGATTTATTTTCGCTTCAGTACTCTGCCTGGCTTTAAGCTGAATCCGGAAAAGGCTACTTACAGCTGCCACGAGGTCCTTGTTGAATTGCCGCCGGATCAGTCCGCCAAAAACAGCACCATTCTTGACTAGTATGTCTTCAGGGAACAAAGGAAAGTTCGAGTTGACGAATCCCCTCCATATAGCTGGCTCATTGGACTTGGGGCCAAAGGTGGTCAAAGTGTTGTCCACCAACCCTTCCTGGGTAGTGTTGGCGTAATTGAAGAAGGACGAGGCCAGGCTACCATTGAAGGCTTCGTCAACCCGAACAAACCTCTGAGATGGCGAATTACTGATGAAACCAGTCGTGATGTGCGACAGGTTTTGATTCCTGTTGCTCTGTTAGTTTGACGACAGGAGGAGGGCGGGCACCACTAGTTGTTGCCTACCACTTGTGTTGGATAAAGTTGGTCTTATACTCAGCCTTTACCATAGGAGGATCTGGCTGTTCGAATTCAGAGGAGAACTCGATCATCGAAGAAGGGAAAGGAGGGCAGGTTGAAGCTCTCACTGGCAGCACGCCGGCAGCAAGCGAGACGGAGAGTAGTTGAAGGAAGCGCATGATTCGAGAGTGAAAACTGACGATTGAAGAAGGCAGGAGTCTCCTGAAAAGAAAAAGATAGTATCTGTGAGGTCTTGTGCCTGAGACTGTCGGCCACTTTATACTTCCACAAAGCACATATGGGTAGGCACGTGAGGACCGTTCACCTCCTTGAACCCAGCTCGCATCTGCTCCGAGACGCGCTCAATAGATACTGTTTTAGGACACTGAGGTTTAGGCAACAATGCGGTGGCGATGTGAAAGTCGTGAGTTTCCAACTATAACCTGACCGGGTGTAGCCTATGGGTCCGTTCAATTATTACCAGATTTAGTGCCTACGAGGCTACTATGTACACTCCCGAAGCCAAGCTTTTGTGGGGCAAATAATCAACTCATAAATCAAGAGGGCACTTGGCCATTTTGGGAAATATTCGAGCGTAGGTGGCTCCTAAATGATTTTACGAGAGAGCCAATCACAACATGCCATACTCGTTTCAGATATCTGGAGCTCTTAGCATGACAGCTACAGGCAGGAGATAAATGTCACTGCCTCAGAATCGGCATATGAGATAGATGGGAAGACATTGAACCCCAGACTGATGAGGAGGGCATGCTTTATTCCAAGAGCTATGCAAAACTATTCCTCTCCCGCCCAGCGAACTATGCAGGTCTCGGATTATGCGTGGCAGTTGAAGTGTTATCCGTTCGGAAATAGTCGTTGCGGCCGTAAAACTTTGTGGCGCGATACTCCTCTGTATCCCGCTGGATGCTGTTCATATACTCGCGGAAGGACCGGCTCATTTTCATAACCTTCTGAAAGTGAATTCCCTCAACGGTGATCTCCATCCCTTCCTCATAGTCTTCGCTCCTACGAAGGTCATATTCGGCTAGGGCAATGGCCGTCTGCAACGCATTCCGGATCTCACGCCCATTCCACTCCATGGAGCTCATCTCGTCTCCCAGCACGTAGTTGGTGCAGGCCGGTGTGACCCGAATCTGGCCCTTCCGCTCGGCGCGGAGCTTATCCAGAAAGCTTTTCCAAATCTTTTTGCGCTGATTGGAGTCCAACTTCTCGAAACCGATGATGACATGGACCCGTGAAATGAATGCTTCATCGATGTGACCGACTCTGTTGGTGGTCAGGAAAAGCAACCCCCTGAAGAACTCCATCTTTCGGAGAAAAGCTTTGAGGATGCAGTCAGTGACCCATATCCATAAAGGGTGCATAGAATTGAGCCTACCAGAAACGATTCCATTGCGGGCGAGATCTTTGTGTTCTCGACGTTCGAGGAAAATGTCTGCCTCGTCCAGAAGCAGAATTGCCCGCCATTTTTGAGCAAGTGCAAACCATTTCGTCAAATTGGTTTCTATCGCGTCTTCCCTGGCTCCAAGGTCTGCTATTGTCAGGCTCATCAAGGGACGGCCGGTGTTTATTGCAATTGATTCTACAATGGTGTCAGAATCTTGACGTGCATCTTCCAGTGCGAGTTCCAGATAGCATACCTACGGTATATGTCTTTCCAACTCCAGGGGGTCCTGTCATGTGCCCACAATGTCAGCTAAGAGGGGAGAAATTGTCCTGAATCGAGCGCTTAACTGACCATGAAGCAGCACCACAACGCCTTCTCCTTTATCCTTGATAAAATCTGCAGACCAAGGAAACTTTGTTTTAATCTGGCGATCAGATAGTGCTTTGATAATGTCAAGGTTTTCGGGGTTTGTGTTTGCGTCGGGGATGGTATCTGGTTTATCCATCTCCGTAACCCAGTCAATGTTCACAGGCTCTGTACGTTTCGTCAGCAAAACTATGTTCTTCTACCAGTTCCTGATATTTAGAGATTACCCCAAGTCTTAGTCGACAAAGCAAATGCAGCCATGACTGGGACCATCATTAAGAGGTGATCATCGGAAAGCAGCGATTTATCACTGGCATCGACGTTCAGATCAAGGGGAATTGTCGGATGAATGGGGTCTCGATTATCTTTATCTCCGATCTTCGCATTCACGATATCGGTTGGACTCCAATCAAAGTTCCAGTCGTGTTCGGGAAACTCAATCTCTAGGTCACAGGGACCGATTATAATAGGGCCTTCATACTTGAGGACGTCAGCAACTGTGTTAACACTTCTTGTGTGTTCAAAGATCGGTTACCTTTTTCTTCTTCCTGTCCATTGTCGTCCCACTATATTTCATGTACTTATAGCCACTCCACACGATGTCAGCAACTAAAGCTCCCCTTTTCTGAAACGCTGCCCGTCTTGCGCCATTGTCCTGACGGTCATGAAACTGGCATGGGAGCACTGGCAGACTGGTAACAAGTTTCTCACCGTCAAAGGCCTCTATGATAATGCAACAAGGAGCGCGGCCAAGCGCGTGTTTATAAAAGTCAACGTCCTGGAACAAGACGTTGACTATCCAGGCCTCTTTCTTGTCACTGTCTTTGCTCCTGCGACTCACACTTTCAATCGCGCCACCAAGCCATAGACCATCATGGAGGAAGTAGACCAAAGTTCCCGGCTTCAGAAGGTACCAGATGTCCTCGAAGACAACAGTGGGGGTTTCTTTGAGCAGTCGCTTGTCAGCTTGGGCCAACGGCCGTTGAAACTTGAGATTCAGGAAATCAAGCAGGACCTGAAGGTGGCGGCACTTTTCTAGAATACGATTATCGGAGTCGGCGGTGAGACTGCTCTCTAATCGGGCCTTCAGCTCTTTCAGTTCCCGGATGTGATGGATCAACACCATATACGGCTCGTGGACCGTGACCTTGTCACCGATGAGATTCTGGCTGTGGGCCTTTGTTAGTCTTGATGCCACCATTTCTTTTTCCTTGTGTACGAGACTTACCTGGGGTAGTACTTGACAATTTCTCGAATAGCATCCAGCAATGGCAGTGAGTGAATTATCATCTTGGCCTCATTGATCCCGCGCACCTCCATCCAGTCCAGTGAATAATCATAATCATCCTCGTGAGCCCCATTCCGAGGCCGCTTGACCTCGACCCTCGTCTCTATCTCAAACACGCAGGACTGCTCCTCCGCGACGAGCTGCTCCGCCTCTTTCACAACTTCGAGATTCAAGGGGGCAGCGTGAGTCTCTGTAAAGTCCCTGCCATCATAGTTATAACACTCATAGGTATATTTGATGGGCTGAAACAAATGTTCCGATATTTCGACCTCCTCAGTAACGACCAATGTGCCGCTTTCCTCTGGGGAAGGGGGTTCCGTATCATCAACCACTTGAAGAGTGACTGACGTTTCAACGCCGGTATAGGCCATAGTGACGAGCAGGTATGGCTGGCTTGGAAAAAAGTGAAAAAAAAAAACTTGGGGAAGCGATTGCTTGGTATCTGGATTAAGCTGAGGTAGGGAGCCAGAAAGTCATATATAACTCCGATTCGTAGCCGCGGGGGCGAATTTGAGATGCTAGATCCTGCGGGGGTGAGTGGTCTAGATGCAGTACTTTGGTTTTCAGAGCCTATGAACCTGAGGGGTCCTCTAATGTATAGCAGACAAAAAAAAAAAAAAAAGAAAGTAGTCATGACGTGTCCGTACTAAGGTGAGGAGAGCGCCCAGCTAATGGGCTCAAGTGAAGCAGAAGCAGCAGCGCGTAAGCAAAGCATCCCCTTGGACCATGTCCATTTGGCCAAGTGACCCGTTATCAAACACGCTAGGAAAGCACCACCATCACAAGCAGCAGGAGGAGGCGCAGCTAATCCAATCACTGATGGATGTCAAGCTGACTGCATCTTACAGTACCCTAGGAGGACCTCCCTCCCACCCCGCCCTGCCTTTCAGCTCCCTCCAAACCCCTGTCTTAGTTGATCCTGCTATCTACTCTGGTATGTATGTTGAGTAAGTAAAATTAGTATGGTGGGTAACCAAGCTGCGTAGAGGTAGGATGAATTCCGTGCCATTATCATCTGCCGGAATATGAGCAAGTCTAAAACTTTGGTTCCCTTGTTAGCATTCACATCATACATATCCAAAAGACATGCGGGTTAAATACGGAGTCTGCAAGGAAGACTTAGAAAGTAAATCAGCATTAATAAACCATGCTAAGAGAGTGCAGGAAACTGTCTTACATCAGCTACTGTCAGCGCTTAACCTCAATTAGATCTTCTGTGCCCGTCTGGGCTAAATATTTATACATCCAAGCATCCCCTTCGCACTCTTGGTGCGTTTGCTTATAAACTTTGTCGAAATCTAGCAGTCAAATCCCCTTGTCTGTACCGGCGTGTTTCATGAAGCGTTTACAAGTTTGACATAAGCAATGAGTGACTGGAATCCTTGAAATTCTACTAACGCCAAACCCATGTGGTTCTTAACGCGGATAGCGGTAAAATCTTGAAAAAGACCACCAGTAAATGCATGCATACCTAGAGACAGGAGGCGGAGAGATACTCATTGGAGGTCTCTGGAGCAAGAGCAGAATAATCTAAGTCCTGATCGGTGTTTCAGATATGAGTCGAACGACAGTGCCTGGTGAAAGCACCATGTGATATCCCAAAGCCCAAGGCTGCAAAATGTATTCCTTAACGACCCTATGCATTGAGGTTAAGAGGCGAGACACAAGTGAAGGAGGTTAACTGGTTCTCGGTAAAGGCTTCGATCATTCCTATGAGGAAGTTCAGATTTGTCTCCCACAGGTTTGAAGGATAGATAGAATCAGACATACCAGTTACAGCGGCCCACATTCCCAGACCACACATCGATAGTGATGCTAGGAAATAGATGATATGCCAAATGTTGACGCCGACTTGGACGACGCCGCCCGCGAAGAATCCACGAATATATCTCTGAACGGTGCTACCCACCCTGGTGACGTGTCCCGTGCTCGGATCAAAGCCCTCCCCTTGTCGGATGCAGTTCTTCTGGATATCGAAGCTTAGCGCAAAGAGAGGCGGGAAGCTATATGTAAGGTTGAGGAGCATAGATGCCGAGATGACCGAAACAAAGCCCATATAATCAGGAATGGCAGCTGCGATAACAAACGCAATGATCCACCAAATCGGACACAGAACGGCATACATGATCTTTCCAACTCGAGTGGTGAGTGGGGGGGCTTTGAAGATATCCAAGAAGATGTTGTTATAGACAACCTTGACACCAATGTTGCCGTAGAGGCCACCGGCAATGAGAGCACCAATTAAGGTGATCATGTTCCCGGCCGTCTGCCATCCATAGGCGCTCACTCCCTGGTAGCTGGGGTTATAGCTATACTGCCCTTGAAGGTAGTACACGACGCAGCCGTAGGTCAAGTATACGCTGTAAATGAAGAACTGGGCACCCCACATCGCTTTAATGAAGTCACGAGGGCGCCTCATTTCAGCCAAGAACTCCACGAAGAGTTGAACACCCGCATACGCCAGGACGCCTGAGAGCATCCCGTTCACTGAGCCGATCAGTCCATCAGGAGGGATATTGCTATAATGGATAATGGGAGGATAGTTGCCCTGCTTATCGGGAAGGATAGTATCCCGGTTCACAGCACTGCCCGCGGATCCGAGTACAGCGACGGTGTAGTTAGGTGGAGAGTTTGCCATAACACCCATAGTCATAAGAATAACAAAAATATTCAGCCAGACGGCAAGATTTGCCACCCAGCCATAGGCCCGTAATGTACGGATTTGCGATATCAGGAAGCCTGCGCAAGCGAAAATCACCGGACAAACGGCGTAGCATAGCTTGAACTTGGACATCTGGGAGATGTTCTGTCCATATTGAATCGTAACTTGACCAGTAATAAGCAGTAGCGCCAGACCTTGGCAGAAGTTGGTAATATATCGTCCAGATCGGCCAACCGTTCTGAACGCCAGATCACCATAGTTCTTTGCTGGGAACTCGTAGCTATCAACGCCAAGAAAGACACGGTAGACGAGATATCCCGAGTAGCCAGCCATAAATCCAAAGACTGTATAGAAAGCGACGCCTATATTTGTAATTAGTATCACTGTCTGGTCAATATTACCAAAACGATATCACACCTGGCCCCCATCCGAGTGTACCCATGGTATAGCCCGAGCCGTATGGTCCCAAAACGTCAGTAGTAATGAGGAAGAAGCCTGTGCAGATCGTTAGCACAGATGATAGCCCCCCAATCTAAACCTTGACTCCAACTCACAAGCACCGGCCGAGGCAGACCTGAAGGCACGACTTGCATTTGTCCACTCCTCATCGGTGATCTGCAGCCGCCTCTCTGGGTTTCTGAAGTCAGCCTCAGTCAGAGTCGTGGTCGGGATGTTATCCTGAGCGTCTGTCTGAGCGGCCTTCTGAAAGAGCTTTCGAACATTGGAATGAGGCGCTGCCAAACCCAATTCTTCCTCTCGGGTTTTGTTGGCATAATAGTGATATTCCTCAAAGGCGACCGTAGGGTCGTATGGCTGGCGAGCCTGGGGCTTTATTAAGGAGCTGTAGCCCCCCTCCTGGCCATCAGGTGCAGGCTCGGTCCTCGGCTTTTCCTTCATGGCCGAGTGCGCGTCGCGGTGACAATAAGATAAAGCGATGTGATATGAGCGGGAGGAGAGAAGTGCGGAGGTCTGGCTTAAGAGTAACTTGGCGGATCATGCCAGGGACAGAGCTTATCTCCTATTTCCTCATACGCGCCCGGGACGCCGCATGTCCTCCCTGGCTAGGGTTACATCGAAACGGCGGAGCACCACATACTAAGCAATGACAAGCTCCGTTTGGAGTGTGCTCAGACAGAACGGCCCGTCTGGGTCGCAGGATAGTCTCGCCATTGATTGGTGAAGCTGCCTCCCCGCAGCGAGTGTCCACTCCCATCTGGATTTTGACTTGTCCGTTCAACCCCAGTCAGATAAGAGAAATGGCTCAAAAAGGCGATATTTGGGCCCGTTATTAGCCACCTTCTGCCGAACAATCCGGAAAATAGCCGGGACCGCAAAAGAGCTGTTCTAGTGACTTGTGAAACAAACAGAATTCCTGAAGAGGTGCAACTTGCATTTCCTACGATCGAGTGGAAAGTTCCCGTCCAGAATAGAATGGGAATCTTTATCTTCAATGTATATAGCTTGATAGTTATATTGATGTCACATGGTCCTATTCTCTCAGGAACCGCTTTACGCCCCAATAGTCTCGGCGTCTGCATCTCAAGCAATCGTGATACACTGGAATGGGCTACCCCGATGATACAAGATGTCGAGCACGCAAAAGAGAGTCATGCAATAGTATGAACTATGTTCAGACCGAGACCTCAATTCAAGTGATCAATTGCACCTCGCCATACAAACAAAGCAATTTTCTGCTTTGTGGATCATTTCTCATCCAACCTATACTCCCGAATCAACACATCCGCACATGTCGCCCCTGTCACGTAAGCAGTAGCCTGGGTATGACCATTCGGCAAAACAGGAACAACGCTCATATCTGCCACACGAAGATTCTCGATTCCAAACAGACGAAAATGATTGTCAACCGCCGCATCATCGGCACCGTTCTTGCCCATTTTCACGGTGCCAGTCATATGCCAACTAGACGAGACATTATCCTTCCAGAATTGCAAAATGTCCTCATCCGATTCGGACGCCGGCCCCATGATCGTCCATACGGTATCCTTGGCAATGGCTTCGTGTTTGGTTAATTCCCAGAGATGACGGAAGCTCTCGATACAGGCCCGTCTGTCGAAGGGGTGGGCGAGGAATTTGGGATCGAAGAGGAGTGGGTCGTTTGGATTAGATGACTGTAGTCGGACTTCGCCGGTTGATTGTTCGTTCATGAGGAAGACTAGCATGCAAATATAGCTGTAATCGTTGAAGAGCTGTGGGAAGATAAAGTGTGCTGGGAAATGGGTGAGGATCTCGTAGTGCGGGATTGTCTCTTGGTTGAGGAAGTCTTGAACAGATGGTGGGAGGGAGTTGAACTCGGCGGACGAGGTTACTTGCTCCGATTTGAACCAGCCGATGCCGAGCTGGCAGGCGTATCGGGCCCATGGACCTGTTCCATCTTGTTCCCATTGTTTCATCGCTGCTGTCATGGCGGATTGGTCTTGGAAGAAGGTGTTGCGGTCGTTTGTTTCTGGGTTTCGGGCTAGGATTATCGGCACGAAGAGGTGGTCGCGCAGCCCTTGGCCGATTGCTGGAAGGTTTTGAATGACCGGGATGTTGAATTTTGCTAGGTCGTTGGCTGGGCCGATGCCGGAGTGCATTAGGATCCTGGGGTTGTCGAGGGAACCAGCTGAGAGGATAATTTCTTTGGCAGCGAGATCTATTCAGACGTTAGGATTGTGGAAGATAGAAGGTAGTAAGTGGTCTGGACGGAGACTTACACCTCTTTTTATTGGTCTCAACACCAATAGCCGTCTTGCCCTCTAAAATGACGCGCTGCACCGGACTGTCTGTGACAATAAAAAGGTTGTCAGGAGCATCAGACAACAAATCTACCGCAGTCGTCCGTAGCCCTTTGTGAGACGAATTGATACACAGACCCATTCCTAGGGGGTTACCCGAATTATGGTCCATGTTTCGTTTGAGCCCAGCCTGTTCAAAGGCATCCAGAACCAACGAGAGATCATCCTCCCACTCTTTGGCATACCCAACCCGCAAACCACCCTTGTCGCCATGATCTCTGGTCTGGTGCCCACCGTACTTCTGGTTCTGTGGAACGTCGATAGACCCCGCGAATGTTTCGAGATTCTTGAACCGTGTTTGCATGTTCTTCCACGAGAAGGTTTCATCGCCGACCACAGATGCCCACTCGTCGTAGTCATCCTTAGCCCCGACGGTGTACACTCCAAAATTGATAGTAGAACATCCGCCTAGTCCTTTGCCTCGAGAATAGTCAAGTTGGCGGCCGTTGCAATGTTCTTGTGGGGTTGTTTTGTAGCCCCAGTTCATTTGTTCTTCCATGAAGGTTGTCCATCGCTTACCGTCGATCCGGAGGAACTTGTCGTCGTTTCGGCTGCCGGCTTCAAGGAGAAGAACGCTGGGGCGTTTGGCAGACTTGGCGAGGAATGCGGCGAGGGTGCATCCAGCGGGGCCGCCTGATCATACAATGAGCTATGTTGGCGACTCTTGCAGCGATGTATACTGACCTCCAACAACAATGAAATCGTACGTCTGCTCTGATGCCATATTGGACGATAACCTGTGTCAAAATTTAGAATCTGCACGCTGAGAAAGAGAAGCAGACGGTAGGACTGACTTTAAACCCAACACACCAGGTCTCTGAGGCAATCAGTGTGTCAGCTTTCTTGCAACACCCTTTCTTATATGTAAGCCTAGAGTTCTAGGTTCACACATCCCTCAAACTCGCTTTTGCAACCTTTTCGCCCTCAAACACCAGCCTCCTTATTAAGCTCGGTGGGACGACAGCTCCACGGGCATTGGCTCATGGTCCATAGAGCGTCCCGCCCCGCCGAGGGGTAGTTGATCAACAATGTGCATTGGTCAGACTCACAACCCTAACCTTGTAGTTTATGCGACCTGCTTTTAGTTTATGCGGACTTTCTCCGAAGGGTTGGCCAACCTCCATCCTGATTAGATAGCCACCTCTCTCACATAATCTTAATCTTATTGAAAATAGCATAGAATTAGATGAAGAATTATCTTCAGGCAAATTTTCTTAGAAATATCATACTGTCAGAGCTTATAATAGCCCTTAGAGGGGCCTGGGAAACTATTCTGGCTGATTTTCTGCAATATTTACTAAAAATCTGTCTTAAAGGTGCCGTGTAGTTATGCAGGAAGGCAGTCGCCATACTAAATTCTGATATCATTGTGCGTGGATATTTTAGAGGGGCGTGTATATAGACTAGAAATCCATCATTATCTAATAAAGCAGCGATTTCCACTGGAGCTTACTCAATGCCTCGAACTGCTGCAGCAAGAAATTCCGAAAGTTGTTTGCTATATGCATGTTTGCTCAAAGGCTAGCGAATACTGCGTGGCGTGCGGTACTGCCTGGTCAACGCGGGGATCGTTGGGACCTTGATTCGACGTCAAAAGCTCTATCGCAGCCGCACGCCCCCACTTCCCCCTCCCCCCACCCAGCCCCAAACGCCAGATTGAGACCAGAGAATCTCACACATGGAGGGGTCTGAAGTGGTCAGCAGCGTGTCTCTATCAACGCACTGACAAGTGCTAAAATAATCGAAGTAGCTCAACATGACGGCTCGCTTTCATTGAATGGGAGCACTCTGCTCATTCTTGTTTGGGACTCCACTGGATGGGAGCTGTTATGTCCCTGCCGTGTTGACCCTGCTACTACTATCATCTTCTATTAGCTAGAGATGGATATCTAGATACTTTTGGCGGAGTGGTTTGATATATGACTGGAGCTAAGTCTCCACACAGCCATAGTAATGGTAATTTACAGCTGAATGTAACTGAAATACGAGAATATTGCTTTTTTCGCGCCAGCTGACAGCGAGTTGGGCGGGCAAAGATTGTCCATAAGCCGTACTTGGGTATCATAAGAAAAAGCACCAAGCGAGTTCGAGCCCCAAGAACAGACGGCCCCGCATTGCCTAGTCAGATAGCCTGTATTGTCTTGCCTGTCTGCCCTGGTTATTTGGCTTTCCCGTGAGCTTGTTCGAGATTTGTTTCAAGATTCAGGTCTCAATTTTTACCCTTCACCTTGCGCTGAAGTCACCATGAGTCTATTCAGGCATAAGGCAGGCGAGGCTTTGGCAAATTTGCGAGAGTTTAGTTTCAAAATCAATAAAGAGCAGCCCGAGGAGCCGTTGGTGTGAGTATCTCGCCCTTAATTGCCAAGCCTACGTCTTATCAGCTGGGATTTCGTTGACAATTAACATGACAGGCAAGGCCTCAATGAGCATGTAAGGCGGGAGGTTAAGCAAGAGAGCGAAGGAAAGAGACTGTACAGTGAATCTGTAGAGCAAACCGTTCGCATATATCGGAACGAAAAAGCACCAGAATGCAATGTGTAAGCCATACACTCGCTTTTCGGTCTTGGTTTCTGACTGTCATGTATTCTGGCCGCAGTTTTAGATCTCCTTCGTTCGTCGAGTCCTCCGAACTCAATGACCTCAATGACATAACGAAGGAGCTTGAAGACACCTGGAAGGATGCCATCAAGGAGGTTATGAAGAAGCGCAAGGGCCATAGTGAAGATCTCGCTGAACTTATCAAGGATCCGACAGCGGACAAGCTCAAGGGGCTTGTGCGCGCGGTACAAGATGAATTGGAGGCCAAAAAACAGTCAAAGGGAGGCAGGGTGAAAGAATGGTTCCGGAAAGTAGCCGCAAGGATCTCCAACCATCAATACCTCCTCGAAATGCTTCCCTCCGGAGACAAGTATACCTCAATCTTAATCGGGGGGTTAACCGCCTGCATTAATGTCAGTGCTCAATCTCTTTACGCATTCGAGAGATTGTGTGACTGAAACTCCCAATCCAGGCTACATTAGAACATGAAGAGATTGCTGAGCTAATCTCAGACTGCCTCGAAAAGCTGTCCGACAAGACGCACAAGTTATTCCAAACTATCCGAAATGCGAGTCGAAGCGAGTACATCAAAGCCCATATCATCAAGTTTTATTCGAATCTATTCGGACTTCTAATCCACATACTCCAGGAGTGGCAACTCTCGCGAGCTCAGCGCTGGAAGAATAGTTTTGGGAGCAGTTTCAGGAATCGACTCCAAAGCTCGATTGAGAGCCTCGACTATCATATCAAAGAGTTGAGTGATGAAAACAACTCAATAATATTGAACGAGGTGCGCGAGGGGATGGGTGCCCTAGTTCAGGCATTTATCGTTGGGTCACACTTGGATTCAAAGCTGGGTACCACCCATTCAGCCGTACCGTTGAATCTGCTGAATTACATTTCAGGCGTTGCGGCTAAGGGTGATGCTTCTCAGCCTATCAGCCTCGGGTGGCCTCGGATGCCTGATGCTGCTCCTGTAGCATGCGAAGCGTCCAAGCAAGATAGACATGACGACCAAAGCTGGGCCACTCAGACCATCCTAGAAGACACGGCATGGATGACTGATTACGTATCGTCCGAGAGAGAGGCGAGCCTGCTTATGGAGAGCAGCTACCTATCCACGAACGCCCAGGTTTACCATCGTCTACTACAATGGACCACCTCTATCTCGTCCGAGGCGCTATGGCTCGAGGGTCCCGAAACGATGGGAGACATAAGCTCAAACGCACTGACCACAGCATTCATCGTCGACAAGTTTCGAAAACTACGTGTTCCCGTAATCTCGTACTTCTGCTACTACAACCCGAAGGACTACCGGACATTTTCCCGTCCACAAGAGCTCCTGAAGATGGTGTATGCTCTGATTTCTCAGATGGTGAGGTTGGTCCCGTCGGATCTATCCTCTGCATTGGATTCTGAATACCTGCCGGATCTCTCACCCGCTCGGATTCGCCGCCTCAGTACAGACCTGAACTCGCTTCCAGATGCAATCGGCTTGTTGAGCGATTTATTACCCTTAGGCCCATCGGTGATCGCCTGCTGTGTGGATGGTTTGCAAATCCTAGACTTCCCGGAGGAGCCTCCCTGGTACCAAGATTGTTTAAAGAAATTTATTGAAGTTTTGGCGACTACGAAACCTCCTCATCCGCGCATACGGAAGCTATGGCTTTCCACTGACGGACACAGCTGGGCGCTTCAAGAGGCTGTCACTGCAGGGTGGATTGAAGCCAACAACACAAATAGTGAAGATGACACGCAGCCGCTCGCATTGAGAGCAATGGACGTGGCTGGGGCTACTTAGGCTATGTCGGGCGGGCGATGGCGCCTTGGTACAATACTGCACCGCGATTTTCGATATTAAGAGCGTTTTCTGGGGAGTATTTACTTAGGCAGCTGATTCTATAGATCAGACTAATCGATCGCTCGGACGAGTCGACCGTAGTTCAGATCTTTTTTCTTTCTTTTTTCCTTTTCTTTAGTTAGAACATGCTGTTGTTTTTCCTTTTTTTATCTTGTGATGCCAAGCGGGGAGTCTGGGTGCTTCGGGTGAAGGGCTGAAGCCATAACCTTGGATCCTGTTATGCCAACCCTCAATAGGAAGATGAATTGGAGACTGTTGCTCAGGGCTGTCGAATCACATCTGATCCACTAGTATAATCCAGCTTATCCTGTACAATTTTTATTTTTCATCTCTAAGGTGAGCTTAAAAAGTTTACAAAGTCCCAAGTCACTCCTAATCTCCCCTTGCCTTTATATACCTGGGCTATCCTTCAGGGAAGACAACCATCAAAATATCTAATCTCCAATACGGTACCATCTAGCTTAACCTCACTACTACTTTTGATTACAACTTTCGAATGACAAAACGTTTTACATGCTTCATGCTTTCTCCGGTTGGGGACATATTTGAGACATTAAGCTAGTGTTAGCGGTTGTCAACTAGGAGACTGAAAAAGGGAGTCCCCATCACTATCACTTAGAGCGGCATTTCTGTAAATATCATGAGAGATTATTTTTCTTCGTGATTTGATTTGTCTTGCCAGCAAGACCGGCGAAGTGGTACACACAAGTTAGAGAAGTGGGTTTAAAAGGGCTTCCCGTCTGCTCCGGCTGTACTTCAGCATACCCGCTCTACCTAGGTACGGTACCTGATCGTTGGGTTAAGCCTAGTGGGGAAGGAAGCCGCTGATCTCCGCTTTTCCGTCGTGCGACCATGGATGAGATTGGTGTGGGGCTATGTACTCCAATACTAGCCTAATCTGGTTTAGCGCCCGTCCTGTGGGCTCATGACAGTGTCTCCCCCTGTCAACTGTCAAATCAGGACTACTAATAAAGCAGGACTGCTGCCAAACCAGGACCGTCCTAGAGCTGAGCGATTTCCATCTTTGGCTCCTACGTCACGTGGAAGCTACTCTACTTTATGGTCGGTTACGTAGCTAACTACTTACTCCGCCCACTTTCCGATCTCTTGCTGAAGTCGAAAGCTATCTCATCAAGGCACTAATATACTCTTCTATTTCTTCGAAAACCAGATTTCTCTTCAGAACATTCCGCCCGATCGTCAACACATGTATTCTCGAGGCGACTACATTTCATTGTTATGTCTAGTAGCATGATGGACGCCAAGAACCCCAAGGCAGTTTCATACGCTTTGGAGGGCTCGGGGCGCTCAATGAATAAATACCACTAAGCTGTGTTATCGCAGACATCTGGCCAGCACGACGATGAATGGGGCAAACCTGACTTGGAGCTGTCAGTTGGATTACTTAGCTATCGCCAAGGTAAATTTGACAAACCTGACTGGGATAGATGGCAAGGCGGAGAACTTGAGGCGGCCTTGGTCGCTTAAGAAGTGGAGTGCTACAAGTGTGCACTTTTTGGACTGCTAGTGGATATCCAGTCTGGAAGCAAAGACCAACTCTGGGATATCCTAGCTACCGTCCAGAAGGAACAAACCCTCTTGGAAGCCGTTCGCAGCGTGTTGGACAGGTATCACCTTTGATTATGTTACAAGTCGTAATACTAGCATCGGTGCAAGGCAGTTGAGGGGAACGGATGAGAGGATGTGTGATATGAAAACAAACTTGCTAGGAAAGGAATTGTGAAGCTGAATCCCATTCAATGTAAGCCTGGTTCTGTCACTTAATGCTAACTGCTAGACTTGGGATCCGTGTTTGGAGGCTTATGTCATCGTTGTAGCCACTGAGACCATTCGAGATTGATGAGCCCTTGCTCCGAGAAATAGTATGGTAAACGGAACACGAGTCTATTTTCCAAAAGAAGCTTATCGATATATAGCAGAGATGTCTACTCATAGAGGATCCATCCTTGTAAAGGACAGTTAAACCAGGCTTAGTGGATTATCTGCCCTAGGCAGCATATGCAGATATAAGATAACCTAGCTTCCTTCCATCTTTACCATCGGAGATGATTAATTCAACTCATATATACTCTTTCAGAGGCGGAGGAAGACGTGTGAGCAATAACAACGATCCTACTTTAATTTACTGTCTAATCTTGCGAGAGAAAACGCTGTACAAAGATGGAGACGGATAGCGCTGAAACGAGGAGACCCATGAGCGCCATGTAAGGAAACCCACTATTTTTTTGTACTCAAGCGACTATTGGATAGCTGTGATTTTCGAGCAAGAATCTGCTTTAGGATGGCACGGCAAAGTCCTTTGATATGATAACAGCCCGCAGTGGGCCCCTCCCTGGTAGTTTCTGAGGACAAGACGCCCTGCAGACTATATAGAGTGCACTGATGGGCCTATGTAACTAAGGGAGGAAAAGTAATTTAATTGAAGTAATACTTCTTGATTGAGAAAAGACCAAAAGGGTAAGGCAACTGGCATGTTGAATACCTATCTGTGCCTTCCATAAGACGAGGCTGCAAGTATCTCTCCACTTTCGACGATAACATTTAAAAACACATAGTGGGGTGCGGGAATTTGAGAATAGTCCCGTTGCCAGCGGTAAGATGACCTTCCACTATCCGGACATCAATTTCCTCCACACTTGAAGCTAACCGGATATATCATCGCTATATGCCCTCAACGGCGGCTGTCCGATGACACAAAATTAATCAATGGCCCTAGGCGGAGTAGGGAGCTATTGCAGTGGTGAAGGCACTATCCATCTGAGCCTGAATTGCGAGGCTCCCGGCTTTTAGAAGAAGAGGCAATGCTGCATTCATAGCGTTGTTGAAGTTGTGGAAGGCTGTATGGAGAGACTGGAGATCGCTAAGAACCAGATCTTTGCCGCCTGGAAAAGCTGCCCAAGAAGGTTCTTGAGATCCAATAGCACTCAATGTAGCCAAGAGCGTGGGGACTAGCAGTTGGACGTCGGCAAGAATAGTAGTCCCAGATACAGTGCCAAAGGAGCCAGTGGACTTGATATCGTCAATCGTAGCAACAACAGTAGTAGCAAGGCTCTGGAAATCGTTGTGGATATTTATAGCTCCGGCTAAACCACTAGCGGGGAAACCATTGACGTCGTTGTTTAGTTTTGTAATTTGCGGGTGGATTTTTTGCGTTATATCGTTCTCAACTGTTGCAACATCACGGCGAAGTATAGGTGTGGCGGCAGCAGTTAATGCCAGAATGAGAAGTTTAGCAAAAAGTACCATCTTCGATGTTTTGGTAAGAGTTACTGGAGAATAGTAATAGGGGTATGAGTGCCCAGAGAGCGAGCTTCTCATGCTCTATTTATATGCTAGAGATCAACAAAGGTGACACCAGGATCTGAGGCGGGCGTAACTCACTGTGTAGCCAGGCTCATTCTGCATATGCGCAATTGCGTAACATACTACCAATTATGTGTCACTATTTTCACTAGTTACACCCCGTCTCTGATGAGGAGGGAGAATGTAAATGCATTCTCCTGTAGATCTTTCCATGATATACTAGCCTAAAGCTCAGAACTCGCACAGGGCCCTGCCGCATTGGTTAAGCCTCCATAAGCGGATGCAAGGAGTATAAACTACAGAAGCTAAATTCCAGTAGTCTTGAATAGCCATCCAAGACTACTGGAACTAGCTTCACTAGGATAATGGGTGGGTTATTCTCCAGATAGGCTGTACCTGTGCACTTGAGTCGCCTAACCGCCACCCAGCCCCTATAACACCCAAGGGTAGAGGACCTAATTTGAGTCCTTCTGAGACCATTCAAGAACGATGAGCCTTTGCTCTGAGAAATAGGGTAGCGGAGAGCAGCATCAGTGGATGGATGATCCTGCCGATCGATATGTGGGACGATCACAGATTGACCCACCCTTCTATAGGCACTAACCACTTTTCTCGAGTCTTATTCGCTACGCCCAGACCACTATTTGCGTAGCCAAAATATAATTAGAGAAGATCCCTATTCTGGATATTGAATCTTGGACGATCTTTCATCTACATTTGGGATACATACATATAACTATGCACGATTGTAAATAATTGGTGGTATAGATTGCCTTCAGGAAAATGGTGCGTCGTCAGTATGTCGCCGAATTCTCCTGATATGAAGCTATCCTTACACATCTTGGAAGGTCCTGGAGGAAAGTTTTGACGACTCTGAGTTTCCGCGCTATATCGGCACCAGGTCGGTGGCTCACCTGAAGGGTAACACGCCTTGACAACCTCGCTCCCTAATTATACTGCATGGGAACCCCTGCGGTACTGATCACCGTACTAACCACTGGGGTCAGCTGAATTAACTTCCACAAATCGTCACAAGGCTCCCAGCGAGCTGGATGACCGCGATAACGCTCGCTGCGGATGAGATTCCATCCATTTGAAGAAGAAAGATCATCAACACTTATTTTCGCAAACATAGTCTAGATGGCGGCTGTATCTTGGATGCTGGCTTTGGTTGCTATCTTCGAGGATATTTTTGGTTAGGCGCCAGTGGCGAGGGTGTGACTCATGGTGCATTTCTAGGCGCTGAGCTGACCAGGCACGCTTGTTTCTGTCGAAGTATTGAATCCGATAATGTAGATGCTTACGGAAAAGAGGACCGCTACAGGCTCAAGGTGAGTTGATGTTGTACAATCAAATTGTACCAAAAGAGACACGGCCTGGCGGATACGGATTGATTGTTGGATGATTCTATCGGCCCGGACCGACCCAGACCTTTCCTTTTGGCATTAACCTAAGATTATGGGTACAAACACTGAGACATACTATCCATCATTTCCACCCCATTTTTGGCTACAAGAATTGTAGATCTGAGCAGGGTCGGGCTGATCAAATCTCGTCAGCGGTGGCAAGGCAATTGCAGATTGTACAGCCCAAATCAAATGATCATATTATGATTGAAATTCTAGCGTGTTTCGATTCTTGAAGAGAAAAAGATAATATGTTTATATTCCTAAAGACCTTGATCTGAATAATCAATGTGGGAGTGTGTCATGATTGATATGGAGAGCTGATGTCGTATCAGAGAAGCTAACAGTGATTCCCACCAGACCATTAGAAGAACACTCCTAAATATTCACTTATTAACGGCCCATCCATATAGTGTATCAGCACATGGATTTATAATATAGTAGGTTATATTATAGAATCTAACATTGGAGTATTGACCAAGCTCTGAGTCAGAGTGTTGAGGTGTCTGGACTTTATCTAGAAATATACATTGGGTATATGGATTCCAGAATGATAGCCAGCCATATAACTAGACAGAATTTCCATTCAATAGGAGGTAAACTAGTGAGAAAAGTAGCTTTATACCAGGGGTCCCAGTATATATACAGCTACTGAGCCAGAACTCTACCCGGGGCGGATTTCTGTGTAGAATGTCATTTGAATAGCCCCTCGACGAAGACATGTACCTAGATATTTACGATGAAACCCCCACACAGTACGCTTCCTCCAACCAGAACCCAGACGTGCAGTCTGACGAGATGGCCGGATTCCAGGCGAGTAATTGGGCGGTGGTGATGCCAAATTCGGCCGCCAAGGTATCACAGGTATCCCGCCGGCTGTATACATTAGTCCATTTCTACATGAGGGAATATAACTTGGGGAGGGAGAAAGGAGATGAAAGGTAGGAAAAACATACACACTGGCACGTAGTACTTGTTACAGTTACTGGGAATACCAGACTGAGTTGGAGCAGGGGTCGCCCAGTCCGAATGCGGATTATGGCCAGTTGCTGAATGACTTTGGTTTCCCTTTCCCCTGATATATAGACATGTCTCTCTCTACATAGATCTATGTATGGATGTACTAATGAGGAATAGGGAGCATGGCTCCACGAGCAGGGCACCTTCTCCGTGGACAATCTGGCGTACCTCTGGCCATCGCTGCGAACTATCACAATCGACGACGGCTTTACTGCAAACATCAATGCGCGCACTAGGCTGAGCCCCCAGGATGGCGCGTTCGATGAGAATTGGCGGCCAGACGGAGTTGCACCGACCGATCCATGGTTTTATCGTAATACTTGAGCTGTTTGGAGGAAAGTCTGTATATGAGGATGCCCATTTCTATAAGCGGGATATAAAACCCAAGTTGACGTAGAATTGGGTTACTGTATTGGCAGTGTCAAGTCTTACAACAGAGATGGAGACTCAAATCCACGGTTGAAACTTACGTAGTGCATGAGTAGTTATATGTCAACCTTATAGACTATTAGCTAACTAGATGCCATGGCATCTTTAGCCTAGTATTCTACTTTCTTCGATACTAAATTAATTCACAGACAGTATGTATTTGACTTGATATGATCAAGTACTACGAGCTAGCTGTTAGTGCTGGGGCTTAGGAACTACGGTACTAGGTATAGTTAGTGGGGGCGCCCAAGTTATTAATATATTGATTACACCCTCTTCTTCCCCCTCTTCATCTTACTTTGCATCTGTATTCTTACATCTCCCCCTTTCGCACACACACACTCTCTCTTTCCACAGATGAACTACTGACATAAGAAGAAAACAGCACGGGAGACAAAAAGGAGAATGAATTATCATGGCAGAGAGCGGTTCTCCTATCTCGGACCTCTTCGACCGCCCGGAATCCCCATCTCAAGTGATTGGCAGGCGCAGAAACCGCCTCGTGAACATCATCAAGCAGAACGACCTCCCTCAACTCCGTCAATTCATCGCCTCATGCTCTCCCGAGGATGTGATCGCCCCTGGGACACCCTACTTGGAGGACACCTTGTTCAATGCAGCCTCGTACGGCAGTCCCGAGGCTCTTTACATCCTCTTGGAGGTGTACGCTGCGGCCCCGGAAGTTGTCAAGAGATTCAACCCCAAGTTCCATCTGCTGCTCGACGCATGTGGTGCGGCAAATGCTGATGTGGTGCGCTTTATCTTGGACCGCCATGACAGTCCAGAGAATCGGTTACCGCTCGGGCCGGTGGATTTGCATCAGAGAGACGACTCCGGAGCAACGCCAATCCTCTTAGCTGCGAGGTCGCTGATGTATCTTGACAACGACGCAGATGAAGTAGAAGATGAGGGTCTCCATTGGACTGAGTGGGTTCGGGATCGCTTTGCGAGGGGCCATCAGTTGATTCATCTCCTTCTCGACCGGTGCTGTTCAGCGACAGATGTTGTTCCCCCTTTGCCAAATGATCTCTCTCCGCGGGGAAGCCAGGTGCAAGACAGTGTGCTTGGGCTTGCTGTGTCGAGGGCCGATGGTCCATTACTTCAACGGCTCATTGACTCCGGTGCCGATATCTACCTGAAGCATCAACACTTCCATCATGCCAGGGTACCGTTCCAGTTCAGGACCACAAAAGGTCACGCGTATGATGTCACGACGCTCTATCTGGCGAGTTTATTCTACAATCCTGATGCTGTTAAATTGCTCTTGGATCATCAACGTGACAAGAACAATACCAGTCCCGACCTGGCTTCCTCCTGTGACAGTGATGGGCGACTCCCACTGCATTGGGCAGCTAGCGGCCCTGGAGGTTCTAACTGTAGACTCCTGGATAAGCAGCTCAGAATCACAGAGACCCTTCGACTGCTCCTTGACCATGATTCGACTGGTATCAACCGTGTTGACAACACTGGATCCACGCCGCTGCACTATGCTGCTATAAGCCACGCTATGTGCGGCTGTAGCCAGCACGCGGAGCTTGCTATCCGCACTTTGCTCGAATACGGGGCTGACACCCGGATCCCCGATGGCTCTGGCTGTACCATCCTACATCTATTAGGGTACCACTCCCATCAGGGTGACCCCGTCAAGACCACACTCCTGGGGTTAATCCTGTCACACGGTGCCAATATCAATCATGCCGAGAACAACGGGAAAACAGCATTACACGTCTTTGCTCAGAATTTGCGGCAGGTCTCGGCGGCAAAGTTCTTAATTGAGCACGGGGCGGATTTCCGGGCTCAGAATTCTCTCCGCGAGACGCCCTTTCATGCGGCAGCGCGGGGGTTTTTGAATGACCATGTACGCCGTGATGGGAGAGATAAGGACGTGACAACTGAAAACAAGATCAGGCTCCAGGATGAGATGATGCGTGCTCTGCAGGAGGCTGCCGGGGAGGATACTGCTATGTTTATGAGCCAACCAAATGCGGAGGGTAAAACGCCGCAGGACTTACTGGAGGAGACCAGAAATCGGTGGCAGGGAAGGGAGTATCCCATACCAGGCCCCGGAAGAGGCAGAGGCAGAGGAAGAGGCAGAGGCAGAGGAAGAGGCAGAGGCAGAGGAAGAGGCAGAGGGCAGCAGTAGGAGCGTAATTACAGGTCAGGAATAATAATATCCTCGTAGGGTAGCCGTCGAAGCGCATCTTCTATATTTTGGAACTATTGCAGTGTATATTCGCTACACCAACAAGGGTTCTACCATGCGTCAGGTCATTATAGTAGAAACCTAATCACAGGTGCTATAATCCCAGGCGATATGCATGCCTTGAGCCATGTAATTTCTTGGTATTTCTTTAAATTGCGTAAGAGCTAAGCTTTGATCCACTTGGTGTCGATGACTAAGTACATACATGTGGGATCCAGACGTCAACTGCTACTAGTTAATCTTATGCAGGTGTTACTTACCAATTTCTCCTACCAACTTCTCCTGTAACGCTTGGCCGCAAGCGACATAACTAATTCCTTTGCATAGAAGGCCGCCACTAAAGCTGCATATCCCTGCCACTACTTGTTTTTATGCAAGTCAGCATAGCCACAAACACCCTGGATCATAATACGAGGGAAGTCCTGCATCCAGCCTACAGCCTCTATTTTAAAGCATAAGCCACCTGTTTCTTTCTCTAATCACTCCCGTCTCTCACCATCCTATTCGGACATCTGCCTCGCTATGGACGAAAATAAATAACTAAAATCTTATCGGTGGTTTTCCTTCTTTCAATTCTTCTGGATAGAAGGAAAATATGCCCTCCCAACCCCTCTTGTCTCATGTGGGAGTCATTGTGAATCCGTCTGCTCGCCGTGCGGCCTGCGACCAGTGTCATGCTCAAAAGTTGCGTTGCACAAAACTCGAAAACTGCACCATGTGTGTGCGATGCCAGCGATTGAACCGTCAGTGTATCTGGAGTCCTCCATCGCGGAGCGGTCGCCCAGCAAGGACTACCGTGGAAGAAAAGGTGGTCAAGCGTGGCAGCAGCCGCCTGGATAATGCGGGGGAAAAGCGTCGCAAACGATCTTTGAGTGTTTTAGAATCGACACCAGGAGAGGACAGTCCAGAAAGTGCGAGAGAGCCAGTTCATACCAGCCAGATCAGTACTCAGCCCACCCCTCCGGCTATTGAGATGGCTGAGATAGTACCATCTCTTCCTCCATCCGTTGCAGATTGGAACATGTCGGATATCTTCAGCCTTTCAAGCCCGCGGTATAGCTCGCGGGAAAATCACTTTCCCTCTTTGTGGACATCGGAGAGCGTGCCTCCGCTGCCTAATTTTACCGACTATTTTCAAATGCCCAGCATGGGGAATCAAACCAGAACCACCCAGGATACCCCTGCAATGCCCCCCACATGCGCACCGCAGAGACTGGCCTCTTTGCAGGATATCACGCGAGAGCTCTCCAACATCAATCTATCGTTATTCAACCTCGAGCAATCTCTTCATGCCGAGCCATGGGGCCCGATGTTTGCGTCACCAGCCGCTGTTATCTCGAAACTAACCACCTGTGGCGGTGACCAACCCGACGACACGCTCGCCCATGGGTACCCATTGATTGACATCTTTAACAAAACACAGCACTTTATCGACATTGCAATGCAAACGAGCAATTATTTTGCCTCTCTGCCCACTCCCCTGACATCTCGTCCAACTCCCACGGGTGAAGCACCATCGCATACCTACCCTGACAGTGACACTTCCAGCCAGGCTTCGTCTTGTTTTTCTCCTGTAGACATGTATACGCAGCGCGAGATGCCTCCACCTGCATCCTCAGGTACGGTTCGAGGAGACCTATCGAGCCCAGATTTACCCACAGCCCTGCTCTTTACTACTGGCTACGCGCGGATTCTCGATCTCTATACCACCGTCTCAAGACAAATATCGCATTTCATCCACGCACTGTCGGTACAATCAATGGCCGGGGGCCCGGACTATCGCCAACGGATGCACCCCGTTATCCCACCGTTGCAGTGGGGCGGTTTCCAGCCCACCAACTACGGTGCACTGCAGATCCTAATGGCAATTCAGGTGATATCCTACCTGCTCACGGAGGTGGAACGGGCCCTGGGGGTTGACGAGTGGGAACGCGAGGTGACGCGGGAGCGATTTCGTTCTGAAGAGAGGGGGCGTCCATCATCCTGTTCAGGCGGCGAGGAGGGTGGCTTTTACTCGGCTGGTCAGCAGCATGTGTCTTCTCGCCCGGGGAACCGGGCTGGGGTTGGGAGCGGATTGCTCAACGGTGCAATGATTGAGATTGTGGCCCAGGGGGAGGGACCGGGAAACCGCCGGGGGAAGGTTGGGCTGCTGCGGCGGAAACTTAAGAAGCTGAAGAAGGAGTTAGAGAAGAGCATGCATAGTTAAGACGTGGATCCGTGAGACGGAAAGAAGCTGGTTTATGCTATTGAGTAGTTTTTCACTCGTGTTTTGCACTCTTATATTGGAATCAAGCGATATATGCCCTACTCATCTCCCTATTTCAGTCACCTTCCACTCCAATCCGGCCTTTTCTAGCCGCTCAACATACAGCATCCCCAGTGATGCAGGGGTGAGAATCCCCCCTCCTAATCTCTTTATCATCGAGCCATTGTCATTTCCGTCCAAAACTTCCAACAGCGTCAAGGCAGCTTCACCAACGAACGTTGCGCAGACGCTATACACGTCCGTGTTCATACGCATGGCACCCATTGCGCTGGGTTGGCTCACATCGTCCCCATCCACTGCGACTGTGGCCTTCCATTCCACGAAATGATTCTCCCCGGTCACCTGCGGGCCTGTTCCCGGTTGCGGTGAGAGCCACCGCAGCAACCACCGGAGTGGCGGAAATATGAGAACAGTAAAAAGTGCGACCGACATGGCTAGGAACGAGGACCACGCCTGCAGCCAGCTCGACGCTGTTGTATACCCCTGGAAGCTGAATCGTTCACCGTATTGCTCGGTCCGCTCCCCGTGTCGCTGTAGAAGGGACCAGGTGCGCATGACGACTGCTCGATCCGCCATGGCCGAAGGATTGAAGGTGAGATTACCCAGGAAGCGATCCCAACGGACGGGCAGGACCGGAGGGGGATGAGGGTGATGCCGGCCGGCGTTTGGGATACAGGTCGCGCGAGGGGCGCTGGCAGCCATCATCTGCCGGAGCGAGTACGTCTCCAGACCGGCAAGGATGCTTGCAATCGTTCCCCCGCTGTACCCTGTCCAGGTATGTTGGATTGTGAAGAAGACGGGCCCAAGAGGCCGGCGCAGTCTGCGCGCGAGAAGAAGCGTCATCAGGTCTGGGGGGCTGGACTCCACGGCACATTGGGGGATGATCTACGTCAGACGGTCAGCAATTAGCATCTCTTGGTATAGGGCTCTGCCGGGCATACAATTGCTTTGTTGGCCATGGCTTTGTCGTGCCACTGCGCTGCCAGGTGCTGCGTCCAGACGTGTTCACCTGTGGAATCCACGTAGGCAGTGGAGTTCTTGATACAGGCTACCACAACGGGTGTGCCATATTTACAGAATGGCTATACTGTCAGCCTTTTTGACTGAAACCCGGGAGACTGCAGACATACCCCGACCGTGTTGAGCACCAGACGTGTTTGGGACGCCATGCGCCCAAGATCATCGTCGCTGAGGGTGGCAACCATTATATGAGGCAACTTGCGATGAGATTGGGCTCGGTCTAGAGAGTTGACAAGGGCCACCAGCTTCTGCTCACTGCGGCCGGCAACAGCCCATCGGAGGGTTGGCGGACTGTTGGCCCACAGGTACTGCACCACCAGAGAACCCAGGTAGCCGGTGGCGCCATACACGATCATATCATATGGCCGGTTCATTCTCGCTGAAGCTCATGCAGAGAGTAGTGGAAAGGGAGAAGCCCATGATGGATGAGAATGATTACTGTCCTGCCCCCTCATGGGCGCAACCCTAACTAACCTCTTTTGGCAAAACCCGCCGAATGGCATCTCCAGCCAATGACCACATATCACCATCAGTATGTAGAATGTAAGATAATTCTACTGAATAGTCTGGCAGAGTTGAGTGAAAAGGTATCCCTCGTCTTCCACCGCGTTCTTCCCCCTCCTCTCTACCTCGTCTTACCTGACCTTCACCATCGCCGAGGACCTCTACTTCAAGCCCTACCTCGAGTTCCTGGTCGTTGACACCACCGATTATCTTCTCCCAGGCTATTCACCGCTGGCACAACTGGGGCATGGTGCTCAGCTTCACCATATACCCATTAACCTGGTGCACGGCCATTGCGATCTCCCCGTGGCCCACCTGCTGCGCACCAGTCTCGCAGCCTTGTCTTGTACCGTTTAGGGCTGCCGTTCAGCATCGCGCATATGCTTGGGGGACCGCACGCGATCAACCTGCTTAACTCGATCAAGGAGAAAGACACATCCGAGAGCATGGAGATTGTTCGTCGGTAAACGGATGAATCTGATTCGGGAGGCTTTGGTGGATGTGCGCAGTGCCGGCCCTGGGAGGTTTCTGGCTGGGTTTCTTTATGGAGCGCGGTAGCTCATTACCTCTCCTCCCACCTCCGAATTAAATCAGACTGAATGGGAAACTAATTGGCTTGGGGATGTACAGTGTCGTCCAATTCGGCAAAGCAATCGGCGTTGGGCTCATACATGGACTCGGCGCTACTACCCGTAGAACTATGTGCATATATAAGAGAAAATAGTATCATCGAACAATGGCTACAAAGGAATACGCATTCTATAATTTCAAGGAGCTGGACAGCACGCATCTCCATAGCCTTCAAGTACCGAGTATATACATCTAACCTACCAATTGACTGAAAAAGGAGCTGAATTCCCCCTCTCCACCAAAACCCAAAGTGATCCTGGTTGTGAACGCTGCCTCGAAATGCAGCTTTACGTCCCAGTGCCAAGGCCTGGAAGGTCTCTACCGTCAGCTTTGAGAAAAGTACGGGGACGAGTTTGTGATTCTGGGGTTTTCGGTAATCAGTTCCTGTGGAAGGAACCTGGGTCCGACAACGAGATCCAAAGCTTCTTCTAGCTCAACTACGGCGTCACGTTTCCGGTGCTGGCCAAAGTCATCGTCAACGGGGCTCAGGCAGCGCCGCTCTACCGCTGGCTGAAAGGGCAGAAGAGAGGATCTTTTGGGATTCGTACGATTACGTAGAACTTCACCAAGTTCGCTATGGACCGGCATGGAGGGTGACACGGACGCCGAAGCCGGAGAGTTGGGAGAAGCATTTGCTTGAGTTGCTGGAGGAAACGTTAGCTGGAATGTTGACATGTATCTAATCCTCTTCATTTGCCGCCTTTTCTCCTGTACAACTTGTTCGGTGGGTATTACCTAATTGGGAGTCGCCGAAGCCGAATTTCAGATATCAAGCCGTTCATGAAAACCATGCGTGAGCCTTGATTAAAGCTGGCTGCAACTCACAACTCTTGACCAACCCGTTCCATGCATGTATAGATAGCCACTATGCATTAAACTTCATAATCACTATGGATGGTTACCTGTTTATCCCAATTATGCACGCACCCTTCTCAATTGCCCAATTCTTGACGGTTCTGCCCTCCGAATGGCCGATTACTTCGGTATCTGCGCCATGTTTACTGAGAAGATCAATAACTCTCTCACGTGCGTAAGCTCCCTGTTGTTGAATGTAAAACGAGAGCGGAGTCCGCCCTAGATAGTCTTGAGCATTTACATCTGCCCCCTTCTTGATTAAGGTCAAGACAGAGAGTGCGCTTTCATCATAGGAGGCAGGAACCACAGCCAGGAATAACGGTGTTCATCCCTCTTTAGTCGCCTTGCTCTCGAGATGCTACGAGTCAGCCCGGCCTGGCATGCCGAATGAAAGGGTCTTCATGACAAAGACGTTTGTCTCAGACCTACCTGTCAAAGTTAATATTTGCTCGGAATACTTTTGCGCAAGAGACTATTGCATCAACGCATATGCAGACACTGTTTTTCACTAGACTGCGTAAATATAAGGCCCGGGATTGACTATTTCTTTACAGCCCTCTAGGCTACAAAAGACGTCCCGAAGAATGAGACAAGAACAGACCAAGGTTATTACCAAGGCTGCACACCATCCCGCTTGACAATCTTCCCTTCATCCTTATCCCTCTTTCCCTCCACAATATCCTTAACTAGTTCTGCCCCAACACTCGGGTGCGCTGCTCCCATTTTGCTAAAAACACCGCCAGCAAGTCCTGTAGCTAAAAGGCCAGGCGAGACAGCGAAGACCTTCACGCCATCCTCATTCAATACTCTGCGCCAGTCTCTGACAACCATGTTTAAAGCGGTCTTGCTGGCCCGATAGGCCAACAGGGACATATTCTGATCTTTCGGCCAGCCAGCTGGGGGTGACCTATTAAAGAAATAATTCGGCTCTGTTGTCTCCACCAAAGACGACGTGCCGCTAGTTATAAATAGCAAGCGAGGACTGGCGGATCTCAGAAGCAAAGGCACAAAGGTCTCGCTGACGATATGGGTGCCGGTGACGTTCACATCATAGGTCACATTCCAGGCTTTGCGGCGACCCATTGTGTCTCCACTAGGCAGCTGGATGCCTAATTTCCCGTCAGACTGATCAGCATGGTGAAATCTTCGAGGTGGACTAGACGCAGTTACCTGCATTGTTGATCAACACATCGAGTCGATCGTACTTGCTGGAGATTGCCTGATAAGCGTTTATGATGGAATCATCATCCGAGATATCAAGCTGGAAAGTTGAAACAGAACTGGGGCTCGTTGGGAACTCCTGTTTAAGGGCTTCGGCCGCAGCTTCCCCTTTTGAGAGACTCCGAGAAGCTAGAAGTATGTCATAGGGGTCATTGCTACCACACAATGCCCTAACAATCTCGAGGCCGAGGCCCGTGTTGGCTCCAGTGACAAGAACGATCTTGGGTGCTGCCATAGTGGTCGAAACGATGTTCGAATTTGGATACGCTGCTTGAGATTCAGAAAGAGGTGAGGGAGCAATTTTCCCCTTTATATATTACGATATTGGCAAGGAGGCCAATGTACGGATCAGAGACATGGGGCAGAGTTTATGGCAATGTCCTACATCATTTCGCTCTCCGCACTGCCGGACTCCGAAGCTCTGCGGATTTAAGCCTGCTTGCCAGTGCTAGTAAAACAGGAGGACTAACGAGCCATTAGTGATACGGTACTCTAATCATCCGTACATATATGAGGTTGGAATAGGACGGAGTTAAGAACATCATTTCGGGCTGCTCTATATCAACCTCCCTCAGAGGTTTTCTTTGCGATGTGGGTCTCAGAGCAAATATAAAAGTTACCAAAGTTGCAGGATTGGATGGAGTGGCTAGTGGTGGACCCTAGCTCCCGTATAGATACGGCCACGCTAGGCATTTGTTTCCAGCAACCACGAGTCCGAGATAGACATAGCACCTAAACACAAACTCGACAAAGCAGGTCTCATGTCCAAACTGGATGACCTTCCAAGGCCGATACGCGAGACATTTGAATTGAATACATTCACACCAGCATTATTAATAGAAGCCTTCGTCCGCTCTTGAAACAATTAATTGATCCGCCCATGGTCCACATATCAGATTCAGGGATCTTGGATTAATCAGTTTGAAGAGTGACCAGGCATCTCAAGGCCAGTTAATTGACCACATGTCTCCCGTTTCAGCTAAGGCGATCACAGACGAGCGGCCACCCTCGAAGTCATAGCACGACAAAGGGGATATTTTTATAGGTATATTAGTGAAATGCAAGGTGTCATGAGATAGGTGGAGCTATTTCAACCATGCTAGTGTACAGCGAATCGCGAAGCGTTATTGTTCTGGGAAATTATCCCCGTCGGCCATCGCAGAATACCTCCACAGTCTTTCAACTGTTCTCGGATACATCTCAAAAGAACAGCTGGCCAGTGCTGGAGCAACCAGAGACCCTGGTTCAGGCTCATCACTGCCGCAAAATGTGCCAGGATTATAAGTGCTCCTGGATGCCGCGCAGTACACATATCCAGGAATATGCTGTTCATATCTTTGACCAACGTAAAGATGGCCATTATGTGATGATTATTGCCGGGATTCTCAAGAAGGATTTTCATGCATGTGAAAAGCCGTTCGACAGTATCCAGGCAAGTAGCTCGATGCTCACCCTCACATATTCCTCGTATAAAGTCCCGAAGGATAGGCAGTTGTGGAAAATGGGCGTCGAGGTTGCAAGCAACTTCAAGCCTGTTCTGGGAATATTTCGAGGCCATAAACGGGTCTGAGGGGACCACAGAACTTAGATATTGCTGGACAAAAGCAGTAGTGTGTCTGCTAAACTGAATAGCATGTAGGAAGTCCTCAATAGGATCGACATCAGAACGATCGGAGTTGAAACAAGTCGGGCGATGAATAGGCTCCACGACAGCATACAGGGAAGTGAAGGTGGAAAACGCCAAGATGGCTTTGTGGTGTGAACTATCAAGGCGCTGGAAATGCGGTCTGGCGCGGCTGATTGCAGCTTGTTGGTGCGCCAATGCCCGGGCATACCAGCTCGTGCAAGAGTGGTCCTCACCAAAACGCCTCAGAGACATCAAGGCAAGTATACTGTTAAGCAAATAGGGATGAGAGAACCCAAGACGGATATAACCATGCTTGAGCTCCCGATCAAGCTCCGACGAGCCAGGTATCAGAGGATGACGATACCAATAGTCCAAGAGTTCAAGGTCGGCAAGGCTGTCGTCATTGAGAGGTATGGTTGGTAAGGTCGGTGAAGAGAAGCTGCAGGGAATTGACAGCCGCTTACAGTTCAGACATCGAGGGCGGTCCTCGTTGCACTGACGGATAGTCAGATATGGCTGATCTACTTGACGATCAATGTGTCTCTTACCCGACTGTGCCGCACCTTGCATTGCGCACATCCATCTCTTGATTTCTTGTGGGCCTTCCGCTGCCTCTGCATATTGCTAGGCTTTAGCTAGCAAGAAATGAGCTGAAGATTGCGTAGTAGTGCACCAGTAGGAGATGCACGGGGAAGGGAGGTTTGGCTGGTGTGAGTCTGGCCGTATTTATACGGTAGCCCGCATCCTATGTAGTTTGGCTGCGGTGGAACCCCCGCCTAGTCCGTAAATGATGATTCATAAAGAAAAGTATCCAATCTTCTACAGTTCTAATTCCCATGCATGGCACGTGATTGCGTCCAAATCGATGCTCTGGATTATGGAGATATCGGTCCTATCTTATCCCCGTCCCCGTCTCTGGTCGAGTGGAGTATCGCCCAATTCTTCACATTGCTGGGTCCCGAACAAAACAAACCCTTATCGTTATCTGGAACGTCCCTTAACACTATTTAAAAGAAATAATGCGAAAGCAAACTACATACCCCGGAAAAACACCTAAAAGCATACCTGGCGCCATGGCTGAGTTTACAAAAGCTGAATTAAAGGAATGTCTGCTGATGCCGCTAGGCATTGACTTTTGAGTAAGCTGCAGGTATTGGGACAATGGCTATAGCGGAGTCCGCCCCAGGATTTACATCTGCCCCCTTCTCAACCAAGAAGGTCAAGACAGCCACTGTGCTTTCATCATAGGAGGCAGGAACCACAGCCAGGAAAAACGGTGTCCATCCCTCTTTAGTCGCCTTGCTGTCGAGATAATAAGAGTCAGAAAGTGACCAGAGCAGCTCAACCACATCTATCCACCCAGCCTGGCATGCCGAATGAAAGGGTAGAGCATTACTATCGTCCTATGCTAAGCGGTCAGTCCCGTTTTCAACAGTAACTGTATTGTCTCCAGGGATGCTTGGTATGCCGCAACATGCAGCAATGACCCGCCCAAGGGACAGTATACACTTGAATTATTATACCACCTTTCTGACGGCAGCGGCTGGTTAACAGCGCCCCCTGCCTTTTCCAGGAATAAGTGGATGATTTGCGGATTCCCATTAATCACTGCTTGGGCCAAGACAGGGATACCTAGGTGGTCGACTACCTGCGCATCCGCGCCATAGTCAAGCAGCATCTGGATCATCTCTAGCCTCTGAGCGGTCTAGATGGCCGAGTGAAGTATGGGCCTGATTCACTGTGTGTCGCTCCTCATCCAGTTTGGATTGGCTCCACGAGCAAGCAGAAGCTGAATGACTCGTATCTGGGCCTCCCAAGACACCATTCTCCGCACGAAGCATCGTCTCATGCTCATCCCCTAGACAGTACGCCGCAGCCTGCGCCAGTGCCTGGTCGAGGGTCTGCGGCGGATTGGGCCGGGGTAGTACCGCAGAAGAATCCCCAGTGATGTCGCATGATGATTCGCAGACCGTCAACAACACAAAATACTAATCGATGATTGGCTGTTCTAGGTCAAGGTATATGCATAGAGTCCAACAATTTGCGAACTGATGGCATAGGTCCCTGATGCATCACCATTTGTGATCTGGTTCTTAGCTTCTACAGGTGCAGTAAGTAGGCACAACATCCAGCCTGAGTTGCATGCCCTAAGCATTGTTGCTAGTAACACAGTGCTCACTCTAGGAGAGCTAGAAAACATAAGAAAACAAGATGCTGAAAGGTTTTTAGCGTGCTGCAGCTAACCATGACTGTAGTGCATGTGACTGTTAACAACAAAAGCATGTGAGGTTTAAGTTGCAGGATGGGTAGTGCTAACCGGCCGCGTTGACACGCAGATCCGAATACAATGTAAAATATATAATGCATTATATGCACATTATTAGAAAGACTTGCGGAACCAAGCAAATCTAGGATGTCTAGCTACGAGCACAGAGCACAAGGCCAAGATCAAACACCTATAAGTGACTCACATGAAGATGGACACGTGCTTGGCGTAAATAGATATCCCATCTAATGTCAGGTTCACGCATATATGCATATGTCTAGACACACGTTCTGCCTAGAACTCAAGCTCAAACCCACCGGTTCTAGCTAGGCTTTTGAAGTTCCCCAATGAATGTTTCCATCTATCTGGGGAGCCAAATCCTGTGTGCAACCGCTTTTTGTTGAATGCTTCTGTTGCATATGTAAATGGAGACTTGCCTTCCTTGTCTCTGTCATTCACAGCTACATTGATTCCCCAGGCAAGGTTAAGGATCTCTTTGCTCGTTGTACCATGAATAGCTCCGTGGTGCAAGATATTTTTCCCAGTTTTGTCCTTTGCGGTCAAGTCGACGCCGTAGGCTGATAGAGCCTCCAGGAGTTCAACATCCACCCTCCAGCTGCGCATTGCTAGATGTGCTAGGTTCAAGCCTTCTGAGCTTGTCCAGAGCGCATCGGCTCCTTATTCCAAACGAAAGCGGGAGATTTATGTCCCGTCTGACAGTGTGAATCCTCGCAAGTATAAACTTATTGGGGATTCGTCTTCGTCAACATCCATTAGTCTCACTCCAAGATGAAGCGAAATTGTGATCATATCAATGGAACAGAAACCAGATTTCAGATAGTGATGCATCAAGGATCTGCCCTCGTGTATCTGTTTCAAGGCAGAGTTGTTGACTTGCAGTCTCATCCTTGCCAAGGATCGCCCGTACTGTGTCACACCTATGTTCGCGCACAGCATAGTGTAAAGCTGTCAGGCCCTCGGCATCCACGGTTTCAATGGAGCAACCACTGTCAAGTAACTTGCGAACAATTGTTAAAGCTCCTGCACTGCACGCGAGGTGTAGTGCTGTTTGACCTTTCAAGTTGGGCGCGAAAACATTAGCCCCCTTCGCGAGTAGTGTGTCAAAAACCACTTCAGCGTCACTTTTATTAAATTGAATTTTATGAAGTGGAGATTCGCCTTCAGCATTCTGGATATTCACGTCGATGGTGCTGCTTGCAAGGAGTGCTTTGAATACCCCAAATCGCTGTTCGTCAATATACTGACAAATCTCATCTGCTTCGTCTCCATAGTCGTCGGATATGTAATCGACAGAAAGTTCCACCTGCCACCTGTTGTCTGTCCAGGCGTCATCATCTGGCAAAATATTCCAACTCTTGGTGCTCTTTCTGATACCCTGGCTCAGAGCAAAATGTAGCGGCGTGTCCCCGTTCTGAGAGCGCACATTTGGATTAGCGCCCTTGCTCAAGAGATATTCTGCCATTGCACAATGGCCAGTGCAAGCTGCGAAGTGCAGCGGCGTGAGGCCGGCGGCATCCCCAATTCTCTGCTTCGCCGAGTCAGCCAGCTGATGTTCCTGGTAGAGGATTTTCCCGTCTTTGACGATCCTGGTCCAGACTTTCCTCTCGATGCCAGAATTGATATTGACGCCCGCCTGGAGAAGTAAGTCCGCAACCTGGCGACCTCCGGTTGCGACTGCATAGTGGAGTGGAGTCATGTTATCAACATCGCACCAGGTAGCGTTAATGCCTCGCGATAACAGCAGTTCTGCCAGGCAAACAGTGTCTGGCCTTGCGCCAATCACTGTCAAATGTAATGCATTTCGATTCATCGCATCCAGTGCATTAACTGTGGCTCCAGCGCTCAGGAGCTCTTTTACAGCGGCAACTTTAAAGTTGTCTGCTGCAGCCAGTAGGGGAGTCTGCCCATCCAAATCCCTAAGCTCGGTAAGTGCACCTTTACTTAAGAGGAGGCAGATCAGCGTAGTGTCGCCTTCACTTGCTGCGTAATGCAGGGCCGATTTGTACTCCGTATCAGTTGCATTCACATCAAGTCCTTCATGAAGAAGTTCCTCAGCGGTCCGTATCTGCCCACCCATCACTGCCCAGTGTAATGCGGTTCGTCCAAAGCTATCCACTGCACTACGACATGCTTCATCTCTCAGAAAGTCTATGACTTGCTCATTTATGCCGAAATATGCCGCGAGATGTATTCCCATGATTCCTTGTGTTTTTCTGCCTGCACCGAAAGGTGAACCTCGTGCCAATAGAACCTGTGCTGCACTGGCACGCGCTGGGCCACAGTGAAGGAATCTGGATATTAACGCTTTGACCTTCAGATACACTTCCCTTGCATGTAGACCCCAGTTTTGGGCGGCATAGGAATAAATGGGGTAACTCTCCAGTCGTGCGTTGAACTCCTCATCAGCGGCACAAGGACCTTCTTTGAAAGAATCAAATGAGAGATACGTCAAACATGAAGCCGCAATGCTATAATGTGCATCTGGGAACCACCTTGTCCATGTTCGCAGGAAGTATTCCTGTGTCGTATAGTGGACCAGTCGAATCATACCACTGTAATCATCAATTGTGACCAAGCCTGCACACACGGAGACCATGTCATCGAGGTCAGGGAGGTTCTCCTGGTCGAACTCAGACGACTCTAGCTCTACGGCAAGAGCATTCTGGAGCTCCACTGTGGTAAGCTGTCTGGTTGCACAAGTAATCCACGACAAAATGTCTTTGGCCATCTCCCTCTGGTCTGGTACTTGCGCGTCAATGCACTCCATAACATTACTATATGCCTCATCATAAGTTTTTGATCCAGCAGATAGCTCCTTAAGTGCGGTGCGAATCGCCTTTCGGGACTTCTTTCCTACCAGTGAATCAAGATAAAGTCGGGCAAGGAGAAACCTGATCCAATATTAGATTGGGTGTCAGATGTAGACAGTAGCATAGAGAACTCACATCCCATCAACAACGTTGGCGATCCCTGTAACTATCTCCTCCTGTAGTTCTGGATTTCTTGAGACGAATGACGGTAACTTATCCAGATTGGCGTTCAGATATCTCATCATGTCTGGCTTTGCTGCACGAATTTCTAGTGTAGTCTTATGTTGAAACTTGGCGACAACATCTGGGATGAATCTTGAAGTTGCTAGGAATCCCACGGGATATTGGAGCTGAAGGTTGAATATCTCGTCTAGAATTTTCGACCGAGACCCATCGTAGGTTTGGCATTCGTCCAAAGCGTCAATTACAATATATATTCGTGAAAAGTGACGGCAAATCGAATATAAAGCACTGCGTATTTCGCTGATTGACGGCCGCGTTGCTTTGATTCTGTGTTTATCGTGAAGGATTTTTATGCTGTCAGGCAAGGATGTCTGCACCTGGATAAACTGCCTGAGCAGGCTTGCGAGTAGGTCTTCGAGCTTTTGCTCCTCACGGCGTTGGTAGTCGCAATAGAGGTATGAAATCCCAACTTCACTGTCGTTTCCGTATCGGGAATAAATCTCGTCGACGATGACAGATGAAAGGATGGTTTTTCCAGCACCTGGAATACCAGGGCAGAACAATGTCTGGTTTGGTGAGACAATCCACTTTTGAAACTCTGGTGTATCTAGAAGCCATTTGCAAGTTCCTTGTTGGCGTCGACTGCTGTACTCGCTTTGTTTCATTGCATAAGTAGCTGGGGAAAGCCAGTTAAGTATCATCTCGTATTGCTGATCATCTTGGTGTTTCACCAGTCTTGTGACATCCGAACAAACGATGCGCCCATTGAATGAGTTGAGAAAGCCAACATTACTGCTGATACGGAGTCGAAGATCGCGAATATCCTCCGGTTCCCAGCTCAACCTTTTCCATGCCCTTTTCAGAATGTTCTTTGCGTTGTTGGAATCAGCGTCCAGCTCCTTGTATTTGTCAATCGTCCATTCAGTTTCAGCGAGGAGGTTACGGCAGCTTCCTATTATCCTTTGTAGCTCGGTTTTCTCTTGAACATTTAGCTCTTTGCTGGATAAATTAACTTCAACATCTTGCATCGCGAATGAGAGGTTTCTGAATCTAGTCCATGAGAACCACCATGAATCAGTTTCACCATACAAGCAAGGTTACAAGATAAGAGCAGCTCTTACTCATCTGTAATAGTCTTGAATTGAGCAGGCGCTCCCAAAAATTCTTTTCGGATCTTCCTGGCATGCTCAATAACGGTAATGAAGTCTCCAACGCTGAATCCAAAGCTCATATTGATGGATTTTGATGGAGTGATGTATCTGTATGACAGACAACGCCACGCTACGGAAGTCTAGCAAAGCTGGACAAAACACACTTAAACTGGAAGATTAGTGGGGAGAGGGCTGTTCATTAAATGCGTTCAAGAGCTTGTTAAGAAGCGGGGTGGGTGACTTCCTAGCTACTAGAATGCAGGCATACAGGGTTTATTCAAGCATTCTAAGTGGCTAGCTACGTAACTATTAAAAGCATGTACAGAGGGCACTGCCATCTATGTATCAAAGAGCAAAGAAAGGAAGCAGGCCATGATACAACATGTACCCTCCTTTCAACAGAATACTTGATCATTTCCATTCTGCTTCATTTCTCTTCCCGCCTATCCATAGCAGGAACATCTGCTTTCACTTTGCTTATATAATGAGCAACTATAACTTGAGATATATTAAATCTGACGTTTTAGCACTACAGCAGACTATTGGCTGTATGGTTAGCAGTTGGTGTGTAAAACATGATTAAGTTGCCTGAGGGGCTACATAATAAAGTGTTCTCTTAATAACTGGAAAATGGTAAGGAGATTCTGGCGAGGATTCCAGACCTAAATGCCGGCCATAGTATGTTGTGGCCAGTGAAGTTACAATACTTGATTTTGTATGGCGTGCTGGTTTCGCCCCATTCAATCTGCTTTGGCTAACTTGGTTTAAATCATGTGCAGCTTGGCAACATCCTTCACATCCTGGTTTCTGAAATCCTTTCTTGGAGCTCTCCTCTTAACCTAACGTAGTGGGCGCTGAGTATATCCTGATGGAGAGAGTGAAAGACGCGTGTTAAGTAAGGTCTGGGATGCCTTGTCTAAGGCCTAATGCTTTAGCATAGTAAAAGCTCTGGTAGGAATTAAGCAGAAACTTATGAACGTAAGGTTTGTGCTCCACAGGAGCTTATACTGTAAGGATATATATTTGCATGGTAGAAGCATCATTGACCTTACCGAGCCGGAACAAGAGGCTATGTTGATTTATTATTGATCTAATAACGCAGTGTTCCATTTAGGAGGACCAAAAGCAAGAACTAGGCATAAACCAGGGCCCTTATATGACTCTGATCTGCTTATTTTCTTTCACCATAGATTGATAAGTTACTACCTAGGGAAAATGGCCGAAAAATATCTTTCATCCATTGCAAGACATGAGATTACCAGAATCTGAGAGATGGCGGGCACGCCGCTGGGGATCGTTGCGGCCGTGTGCATTTCCATTCCGACTGTTTATTTTGTGGGGGATCGTATCCATGCTGCGAGCCCTATGATCAAGGAGATAGCGAAAACGCATGGGTAGTTGGATGACTTGCTGTCCTGTCCGCTGTTGACCTGTATATCTATGTTGATATAGTTAGATACAGTTTATTATTCAAACACATTCTTAACTTGTACATGTATCTTTCATTGGAGTTTCTAGTTTTGGCCTTGATACATGCTTCATTTTGGAATTCTGAACGCTTACCTCACTGCAGTTGCATATCACAGACGTATCCTACGAATGATCAAGCGATAATCTTTGGGGTCTTGATCTATATCCGATCTCCGAGCCCGTCTCCGGGGAAAACCCCGAGAAATGCTCTGTCGGAGACTACCAAACCCCGAGACCGATTTGCCTCCCCGGACTTGATAATCATTTATGGCAATGACAGTATACGTAGTCTCTTCTGCCTATCAGTACCATCACGTCTTCACGGTGAGTCTGACGAGTACTTGTCTGCCTGGGTGGCAATTCAAGGCCACAAGGTGTACGTGTACATACAAGAAGTTGACTCATGACAGTCATTGTAGCGGCCCTGGATAGGTATATATATCGTAGTCAAATCCGTAGAAATCTCAACCGGGCAGAGTTACAGACCAGATCAAGTACATACGATCATTAGTCATCCAGCTCAATATGCAGCATTCATGTCATTTCAGTCAGCATCCCCTAGCCTGGGATATCTCCATGCTAGAAGAACATCCTTTCTTTGCTCACCATCATCCCCCTCCATACCATGACAGCTTCGAAAGCAGCTCCGGGGAGCCCTCAAAATGCGGGGAAAGGGGGGACAAAGAAAGAGCCAAAAAGGGTAAGGAAGGTGATGAACATCCAGATAAGCCAGAATTCCGATTCGGTCATTCCTGTGGCCGTGGCCGTGGTGGTCGCGGATTTTTCCGTCGCCATGAGCAGGAGCATGGATTCAGCCGATGGGCTGCACACGAAGGTCCAGGACTCGGACATCATCACCACCACTCTCACCATGGACGAGGTGGTCTAGGCCCTCAATTCCACGCATGGGGAATGTTCAGCGGACTAGGACGAGGTCCGGGAGGGAGAGGGGGCAGAGGCTTCGGCCATCATTTTTACAACTTCCACCATATGCACCCTCGCTTCCGCTCTTCTCACCACTCACCCGACACAGCCAGTTTTACGCCTCTGGTCGACATCTTCGTCACGTCTACCGAAACGATCATCCACGCCTCGCTTCCGGGAGCTCAAAAATCGGATTTGAGCATCGCCTATGACCCATCGCGCTCTACCCTCCGCATGGCTGGTGTCGTGCACCGTCCTGGAGTTGACGAAGAGATGTACAGGGCTTTGCTGGTTGGGGAGAGAGGCCGTCACGTGGGGGTGTTTGAAAGGGAGGTGCCAATCTCCCATAACGTTGCCGTGGAAGGGATCCAGGCTCGACTGGTGGATGGGGTTCTGAGGGTTGCACTTCCTAGGGTTGAGGGAGAAGTTGGACAACCCGACGAGGAAATGGACGAGGTGGAAAAGGAGGGCGCAAGTAGTGAATTGAACATTGAGGGAGAAGAGGAAGAAGAACACGAGGATGTGGAAGAGGAAGTTGAGAGGGAGTATGTGAAGGTGGATATTCAGTGATTGCTTTTCATCATAGTATAAAACCAGGATCGTATAGGGTAGAATAGCGCATTGAATCTATTCCACCCTAATCACACACATGGCAAGAATTTTGCTGATAAGTTTTAGTAAGTCCCACTAATGGTAGTCTGTCTTGCCGCTCGAGTTGACAATAATAGCACCTGGCTGCAAGCTCCAAGGCTAATACTCATTCTCAAGGACTGGCAGTCATGGTGGTGCAGGTAGCAGTGCATGTAGCGATCTTGATTAGCTTAGAACTGGCTGAGTGTTCTTTTTGCTTCCTGGTGCTGGATGGTGGATAGTCCTCGTCAGCAGAGTCATCAGAGTCTGGGAACTCTTGACTCGGAGGGCAGTATTTTAGAGGCTCCTGACAAAGTGAGGTATTTCGACTGCCCAATGAAGTGATAGGCTGTAGCCGGTCGAATCGCCGATGTTGTCAGAGCCTTGAAATGTGGACTCCGGGGTTCTTTTGCGTGAGAGAAAGTTTGTCCCTGGTCTCGGGTTTATGTTGTTGTTGAGGGGCCAATTTTAGGGGAGCCGAGGGAAAGACAAGTTAGGTAGAGTAGAACGTAGACTTATAACCCGTAAAGAGACTGTTATGGGGCTTACAAAATATAGAAGTGAATGCTAGCATATGCGCGAAGTGAAGAAGCTCTTATCTTATCGGCCCTAGGAGACACACACGCTAACCAGAGTTGTCAGCTGCGGAGAACAAGGACAACAGCTCGTTCTCGCACCGAACCATCTACCAGTCCAGCTTCAGACCTCGGCTTAAAAATGCGGAGAAGAATCACTTTTGTCCAGAAACCGGAAACTCCCTTTCACGTTGACCAGGCCGTGCTAACGAGCGATGCGCTGTCCATTACACACCTGGACGGGGCGCGCGAGGAGCGGGCAACATTGGGCTTTGATGAGCTTCCCTCAGAGGTAAGCTGGTGACTCTACAGTTAGCAGTGAGCTAAACTGATTTATGCCTGTATAGATCTGGCAGGTTCTGAAATCGAGTCACGAGCTTCACATCCGGTGGGTGACGGAGCGGCCTTATGAGATCGGAGCGCCGTTTTCCAGTCGGATATCGCCTGGGTTGCATGTTTACTATACCCCTGGGACATCGGGGGAGACAGGGTGCGTATCTACGAGAGGTATTCTCTGAGCAGTGGTTAATGTAGGTTACAGGAAGGGATTGTGCTTGCTGTTAAAAAAGGTATTCGATGAGTCGCTGGAATGTGACAGCCTCAGGGTAAGTTCAATTCGTCGGTCATTGAATCGCGGGATGCACTCTAACTCTCGAGTTCTTTAGTCCTCCTTTATCCAACCTCCTATCCTCTCGGAACGATTTGCTACCACTGCCGCCTTCCAGTACTACAGTCGTCTCCCCTCCATGCAGAATCTCGTCTCTTTCATTCAACACAAGTTCTGTGACCGGTCGGACGAGACATGCTTTCGTCATGCGGAATCAATACTCTCTGCCGACTCGGTGGATGTCAACTATGATAGCATCTCGCATGCGCTGACCGTTTCTGGGTATTGGTCGAAATCACCGGGCCAAGGATGGACCGAGCAGATCAAGAAGCATGCCGCAGATACACACCAGGTCGAGGTCGGGCTTCTCGGTGTGGAGAGCGCCATCGAGCCCGAGGAACTGAAAATGGGTGGTCTACTTGGAGTTGTGGGACAGGACGAAAAGTTGAGTACGTTGTATACAGGAGCACATCTGAAGTTTCCAGCAAGCTGACACCGTTCCAGAACCAACCCTATTCTCATTTCCTTCGCGCCATCATCCTCTTCCAGCTGATGCGACCTACACCATCTCCTTCCCCGCTCCAACTGGGCTCCATCCCACCCTGACCATATCCCTGCCCCGCGCGTCGCTGAAGCAGCCCCCCGCACCTCCAGACGCGACATGCGCCCTCCACACATACCTGACCCTGCCATCGTGGATCTTCGGTGACAAATACCAGCTCTCAACAACAGACCCCCTCTTCCTGAGTTCCCACAATCTGGCCGCTCTCCGCGCCGTCGCAGGAGAAACCGACCTCGAAGCCCCGGACTGGTTCGTCTCCCGCTGGGGCTCAAACTGGCTGCTCGAGCTCGCAACGCCCCTGCAACCGGATGCCAGCCCAGAGGAGTGGAACGCCACGATCCCCCTGCACCTGCGATACCTGCCCCCCTCCGAGTCCGGGTACCACTCCGCTGCGCTTCCATGGCCGATTGTCTTCTGGGCCTGCACGGCGGAAGACGGTACCAAGATGGGTGTCAACCCGTTTGATCGGGTGAATCTCGGCTGGGAGGGCTTGTTCGGCCCGCGGACGATGTTCTATCAATTACACCCGGCGCCGGCGGAGGGCAAGGATCAGCTTGTGGAAGAGCTGGAAGTCCCTGTTCTGCGACTGCGAGAGGATGGTGGATTTTTCCGGGGCAGGACCATCGAGCTGGGGACGGTCGTGGTCGTTGGGCTGGGCCTGCTGTGGGTTCTGTGGAAGCTTGGCGTCGTCGTGCGGACGGCAGGCACAAGAAAAAGGACCCAGAAGAGAAAAGACAAGCAGGGCAAGGCCGAGTAGCGTTCAGTTTATGTCAATACCAAGGGATGCCCATGTACATATTACTTCGAGGGACCAAGTCCTGATAATGCCACGCATTGAAACGAAACATAGCTAGTAATGTAAGCCAAAAGCCAAGGGTATCTCACTGCCTCGAACAAATATCCATCACAACCAAAACGAATCTGCAACGCGTCAAATCCCCATCTCCGGCAACGGCCACGGCACATCCGTCATCAGGAACTGATCCAGATCGAAATTCTGCAAACTCGGCATATCGATCATCAGGTCGCCCAGCCAGGACATCTCCGACAGATCGGCCACAGACGGCGGCGGCGGCGGCTGTGCTGGGCGCTGCAGCGAGGTAGACCCTCCCCCCGCAGTAGCATCGATGCTGACCTGCGGCGCCGTGGCGGCCGCGTTCGCGTTGACGCGTAGAACATCGCGGAGCGCCCGCGTGTCTTCTTCCTTGCGGCGTTGATGCAGTAGAATAAGCAGGTAGGCGGTGCTGTAGGCTTCGCGCATGACCTCTGTGTCGTAGGCGGCGGCGATCTCGCGGAGGGTGCGCATTGCTTCGCCCAGGAGGGCGAGCGAGGCGCGGCTGTCGATGGCCAGGAGGGTGCAGACGATCTGGAAGGGGACGTTGGCGATCTGGTGCCAGGGGCAGACGGAGGCGACCATTTCGCGGGCGGCGCGGAGGCCGGTGCCGGCCAGGGCGAGAACGCGGTCGAGCAGGTCGCCGGAAATGCTGGAGTTGAGGGCGCGGAGCCGCCGGTACAGGCAGAGCATGAGGTTGCACTGCGCGAGGATCAAGGGTGGCTGGACGTGGATGACGTCGAGGACGGCGGCGAGGGCGGACTCCAGGCCGGGCGCGTCTTGGGTTTGCTTTGGGTCGAGGCTTTCCGAGACGGGGAGGAGATTGAAGATCTCCGAAGGGCTGTTTGGGGACCGTGGTGCGGGTGGGAGAGAGGTTGCGCCATGCAGGACGACTCGGGACCGGCCGAGTTCGAAGGAGATCCACACGTTGAGGTGGCGGGCCATGCCGAAGAGACGGCGGCGGATTTCTGGGGCGCAGGGTGTGGTCGTCTGGCCGAGGGAGGTGTCTGGTAAGGGCTCGAGATGAAGACCCGACGCCTCGATAAGGTGCATCAGCGTGCAGCTGGCCATCCAGGCGACGTGGGGGGATGCTGTCATGCGGAGATACGCGACTCGGAGCACCCAGCCGGTGACGATGTCCACCGACGGGGGGTTGTCGACGAGCAGGCTATGTTCAAGGATGCGTCGAGCGGTTTGGACCACTCGGTACTCCGCCGGGACGGCTCGTCGCCGTGAGAAGAGAAACCCGAGCGCCGCAATGCCGCAGAGTACCGCATCGTAGGGCCCGTATGGCAGGGCAGACTCGGACGAGGAAGGCAGCCATCGTCTGCTGACCTGGCGGAGCACAACATCTCGGTCAAGGAATGGGTAGCACGGATCGACTTTTTCAAAGTAGAACGTCATCAATGATCGCATCTCGTCCTGGGAGATGATGTCCACGATAGGCACGTCAGTGGCCGAGGCCGACGTCGGCATGGACGATGGTGGCGGGTGACGAGCGCCGACGTTCCAGGCGAAAAGATGCAACCTCGGCGCATTGGCCGGATCCAGCTTGAGACCTAGCCTGCGCACAAAGGCAGCGCCCGAATTGGCCTCGAGGGAACTGACGTCGATGCTCGTCGAGTCCCCCGGAGTCGACTGCTCCTGGCTCTTCGGCCGGGGTGTCTCTTCGATGACACTAGGTCTACGCATCGATAGACCGACTGATGGCCGAAAGACCTTGATATCTTTCTTCTTGCGAGATTCGATATCGTAATGGCACTCGGAGGCCGACCCCAACTGTACACAGGTGCTACATGGTTGGTCACCAGAGCACTTCCGTTTGCGCGACTGGCATGATGTGCAGGCGATTCTGGAGCGCTTTCGCGGTCCTGGCTCGGTCATGGTGTTTCAGAGCATTTCACATCAGCAATCGTTGAGAAATAATTTGCGGTAGAAGGCTCTCTCTCAGTTGTGGGGGCGTTGTACGGGGTACTCCAGATGGGGGTGGACGATGATTGTTTTGGTTGTGTTCATGTGAAGTGGTCTGGGAATTACGCTGCGGAGGGGCCAACTGGTTTGTTTTTCTCGCTGTACAACAATAGCTTATCCACAACTCTCGATTGATTCGCATTTTGATTAAATTTGTTGAGTATGAATGCATAACTAAATCAAGGTGCAGAGCTATGATTTCAGTCGATATTTCGCTAACACTGATAAACAATTTATAAACCAATTATCTCAACCTTCATACTTTCGTCCGTCTGGATACCCCATGAGATCTTCCAATTTCTTTAGGTCAGGCATGCCTGCAGGGCCAGGCATGTAGTGAATATTATTTCGGAAAGTGGTTCCATTCCACCAGATTTCGTTCTTATGGAGTGCTTCCATGATCCGGGCAGAGTCGATATACGTGCGGATTTCCACCATCTGCCCCTGATCCCATCGAGTTACCCAGACGTTGACAATGTCAAAGTCATCTCCTGCATGTTGTCCCATGTCAGCACTGCTCCCTGAACATGATTGACGCAGATTCACCTGAATTCATCACCCCTCTGAAGTTGACCTCCTGCACAGACCATCGCTCATTACAGCCTCCATGGATCGCTTGGGGGTGGATCTCAAACTTGTCCGCATGGTCGAGGAACAGAACACTCACTCGCCGCAGGGCATTGACATAGAAATGCAGCAGGTCGTTGTAGTGACCCGCAATGGGATGGTGTCCGACCACGGTGAAACTCACGTTCTTGTGGATAAGGGTGAAGAGCTTGTTCATATCCTTCTCCAGATCTTTGAATGAGTCCCAAATGTGCATCTGCGAGACGTATTTGCAGTCTGTCGACGGGTTCTCGAACTTGAATCCCTCTCGATCCCTGTGGTCTGGGGGACGGTCGACAAGCCCGTCGCCATTACATCGGCCACTGGGGTCGACAATGCCAGAACCATCGCACCCGGGAGCTTCTAGAAGAGATTGGGATTGTGGGACTGGCTGTTGCTGGTGTTCGTAGGATTGAAATGGCAGCACACCCCAGCCAAGGGTCTCTGCTGGAAGTGTTATGGCTATGAGGGCCTGAATGAGGTAATTGAAGCAAACCATTGATTACTAGGGAGACTCTGCTCGATGGGAACCACATTATGACCCTTTACAGAGGAACCTGGTGTTCGATATATAGCAATGGCTTTCGTCTTGCCTTGGAGGTCCCGGCGATGAAATTTCCCGATTTGATGGAAGCTGTGCGACAAAGTACTACCCTGTACCCCTACAGTCATGCTTGAGGTGGCGTAGCATGAAGCTCGCACGCCCTGAAAGTCGCCGATTCGCAATTGCTCAGCAGCGGAAAGCTCAGGGTGATGGATTTTGTATCCCCTACTCAGGAATGACAAGTGATACGGTTTCACAGAAGCATAAGTACCCGTTGTAAAATGTTATCTAGTAGATCCGATAAATTGATGGTTCTTCCCCTTCTCTTTCTACGAATGCATGCTGTTTCAGATATTATTTCGACACACTGATGTCAAATGATAAGATACAGAGCCACCAATTCGCTAGTCCATAGCAATTAGACTAGATAAATCTAGTGTATTCCCTAGAAGGTAAGAGGAATCATGGAGGGATTATCTTTCTGATTTAACCAATGAAACACCGTATTGTCAAAAGTGTCCCAAGTACCCATCTTGGCTGTTGAGAGTTGGGACTAGATCCGGTGAGTCATATCTCAAGATAAGCCATTGATGATGACACCATTGTGATGAAGGAGATCCCTTAGTGCGCCCAAGGCATTATCTGATGAGCGGTGTCTCTGACTCTCTATCCACTTAAGTTACTCCAAGTATGTAGAGATCACAATCAGGAAGATAATCGCATTATCAATTGCTGCAGAATTGCCCAATCCATAGCGTAATGAGTTGCCAACAAACAAAAAAGAAAAAAAAAAAAAAAGGCTGGCGGAAAAGCCCCTCCGATCCCGGAACTCGAAATACAGCTCCTGTGATTGGTCCATCAGCCCCTCTGGGCCCTGGCAGTCGGTGTAGCGGGGCACGTGCCGCCCAACCCGAGCCGAAGATCGCACTCTTGCAGCAGCTTCTGTTGCCGCCCTCAAATTCTGCCTCCCGCCCGCTTCTCCTTCTCTTCCTTTTCTCTCCTCTTCTCTCCATCCTCTGTCAGTCCTAGACATCTATCAACAACCCCCCCGCAACACAACTACATCATCGTTCTCTGATCGATTCATGTCTTTTTAGACACCCATTCCATCAACAGATATTCAGTGACTGGTAACAGCACAGTCGCGCTTATGGTTTTGGCACCCACCGTCTTCACTTCTCAGGTATGTCCTGTCCTTGTCTTGCCCATGGCCACACGGATGTCATACCCGCCACCACCATCCGGCCAAGCGAAATATAAAATCATTGCTAACATAATGACCCTCAGGACTACATCTCGGATCATCTCTGGAAAGCTTCCGGAAACTATTGAGACCACCCGCATAAAGGCTCGCTTCCACAATTCTTCGTCTCCATCAACAAATAATGTTTGCTCGTGTCTTCAAGGCTATGCCCGCCAGGGCTTCAGCCTTCACATCCGTGAATGCTTCTCTTCAGGCTCGATTCATGGCCACTGTTCGTCAGCAGCGTGTTGCTCATGAGCGTGCCACCTTCACGATCCGAGATGGTCCGATCTTCCACGGCAAGTCCTTCGGAGCTCGCACCAACATCTCCGGTGAAGCCGTCTTCACCACCTCTCTGGTCGGATATCCCGAGTCTCTGACCGATCCTTCCTATCGTGGTCAGATCTTGGTTTTCACCCAGCCCTTGATTGGCAACTACGGCGTCCCTTCTGCTGAGCGCGACCAGCACGGTCTTCTCAAGTATTTCGAGTCCCCCAACCTCCAGGCTGCTGGTGTGGTTGTGGCCGATGTGGCTGAGCAGTACAGCCACTGGACCGCCGTCGAGTCTCTCGGCGAGTGGTGTGCTCGTGAAGGCGTTCCTGCCATCTCCGGTGTCGATACTCGGGCTATCGTCACCTATCTGCGTGAGCAGGGTTCTTCCCTCGCTCGCATCACCGTTGGCGAGGAGTACGACGCCGACCAAGACGAGGCTTTCACCGATCCTGAGCAGATCCACCTCGTCCGCCAGGTCAGCACCAAGGCTCCTTTCCACGTGAGCGCAGCCGATCCTCAGTGCCACGTCGCTGTTCTCGACTGTGGCGTCAAGGAGAACATTTTGCGTAGTCTGGTCAGCCGTGGCGCCAGCATCACTGTGTTCCCCTTCGACTACCCCATCCACAAGGTGGCCCACCACTTCGACGGTGTTTTCATCTCCAACGGCCCCGGTGACCCAACTCACTGCCAGGAGACCACCTACCACCTTCGTCGCTTGATGGAGACCTCCCAGGTGCCCATCTTTGGTATTTGCCTGGGCCACCAGTTGCTTGCTCTGGCCGCTGGTGCTCGCACCATCAAGCTCAAGTATGGTAACCGTGCTCATAACATCCCCGCTCTGGATCTGAGCACTGGACGCTGCCACATCACCAGTCAGAACCACGGTTACGCTGTAGATGCGTCGACCCTGCCCTCTGACTGGAAGCCCTACTTTGTCAACCTGAACGACTCTAGCAACGAGGGTATGATCCACAAGTCTCGCCCCATCTTCAGCACGCAGTTCCATCCCGAAGCCAAGGGAGGTCCTCTGGACTCTTCTTACCTCTTCGATATCTACATTGACAGTGTACGCAAGTACAAGGCCAGCCAGGCTGCCTTCCACCCCCAGCGGGACAGCCTCCCCAGCCCTCTGTTGGTTGATCTGCTTGCCAAGGAGCGTGTTGGTGTGCAGCCCACTATCGGCATGCAGAACATTGCTGCTGCTGCCACTGCCGCTGCCGCTGCCGCTGCCACTGCTGCTTAAATGAATTGCTGGGTCGTATTCTTGTTTTCTGGAGTCATGGGTTACGGGCTGGATATATTGGTATCAGTTTTGTTAATAAGTTGATCAATCGCAATTACGAATTTTGCTCTTATCATCACCGTGTAAATTGCTGTAGTCAACAAACTGTAAGCACTACATCTGCAACAGAGACATCAGGATTGCCTTCCTGACTGCCATTGTCGCACTAGTGTATGTCAACCTTACACCCCAAAGTGACAATCACCGCAGAACCTTGAAGTAGCCCAAAGATCTCATAACTCTAGACTGTTGATAACTGTTCAACCTTCGGATTCGTTCATTCATAATATCCTAGCATACTATGTCCAGCCTACTTGGCAACTATCGAAACCACATCCTCATCCGCAACAACATGACCCAGTCCCACCCGCTGGGGAATATGTCTCGCACTCGCACCCCAGACCAAAGCATACTTGAACGTCTCCTTCAGAGTCCGATGGATCGAGTCGCAGACGTCCTCGATGGTCGAGTTGCTGCGCACGATCAGCGCCTCTGAGAAATCGGGGTCCTCTCCTTTCCTGCATGATTGTCAATTCCCCACGGATTTTTGTAATAGGGGTCGGGGTGGACCTACCGTTTCGTGTATACTCTGATCAAGCGCAGTTCTGTCCAAATGCGTTCGACGACGTCTTGCACGCCTAGATCGAGCTCGCAGCTCATCACGGCTGTGTGGGGTTCGCGGGCGAGCTGGTCGAGGAAGTCGAGGCTGACGCTGTCGATTTTGTTGTACACGTAGAGACTTTAGTGGGTTAGTAATAGTCTAATGGAGTGAGTGAAGGGGAAGGGGTTGGTTAGTACCATCTGATGTATTTTCTGTGGTCTTTCATAATGACGTCGATAAAGTCGTCGATTGTTGCTGGGGTTGTCTGTTAGTATGGGGTCTGGAGTCTGGAGTATAAGCCAAGGGCCGTTGGCTTGAGCGTACCGTTCTCGTCTCGCACCAAGACCTCGCAGTTGAGGATCTTGTAGTCTCTTAGGACATTGTAGATCATCTTCTCGTCGAGGTTCTTGGGGGGTGTCTGGAAGGTGATTTTCATGCCACCTGCCTTTTTGGCTTTGAGGTAGATGTTGCTTTTGAAGTCAGTATAGCGGTGCGAGGGGGTTGGGTTGCGTGCGTCCTTACGGAGGCTCCTTGTTGAGACGGATCCCCACAGCGTCCAGCTCTGCTTCCAACAGTGCCCGCTGTTCCGCGCGTTTTGTGGCGTCCAGGACCATGAGGATTAGATCGCTCGTCTGGACATGGTCAGAAGATCATTGCTCAGCATTTTTAAACGGTTCAGCGGACGCACCTTTGCAGCCGAGATGACTTGTCGTCCTCGCCCCTTACCCTCAGCAGCACCTTCAATGATACCCGGAAGATCAAGAATCTGGATCTCCGCACCGCCATACTCCAGCACACCGGGGATGGCCGTGAGCGTCGTGAAGGAGTACGCGGCAGCCTCGCTCCTGGTCTTGGTGATCTTGGACAAGAACGTCGATTTTCCCACGGACGGGAAACCGACAAGAGCAACTCGGGCGTCGCCGCTCTTGCTCACGTCGAATCCTGTGCCGGCGCCGCCGGCGCCGCCGGTGGGCTCTAGCAGCTGTGCTCTTAATCTGGCGAGTTTTCTGCGCGCGGGTCAGTGTTGTGCAAGCACAGGCCTCAGGAAGCCAATACTCACCCTTTCAGCAGACCAAGATGGTATTCTGGATCTAGTCAGAACATGGATTCAAGTACGCATGCATTGGAGTCCCACCTGTGGCCTTGTTTTCTGTTCTCCGAGTTAGCTGCGGGGTTCTCTGGATAGATGCATGGATGACTTACTCTGCGTCCTGCGCATCTCATCCTCAATCCTGCATAGTTGCTACATGAGTTGCCTGGCCTTGTGAGCAGATACGGCAAAACGTACTCTTTGATTTTGTCTGTAATGTTCACCATCTTGACGGTGGGGGAGTCCCAGGACCCCTCTTACGCTTCGAATGTATATGAACTTGGTAATGAGAAAGAAGACCGCTCCAAGAGGCCTTGTCGGTATAATAGCAGTTATCTTAGACAGGGAAACGAGAGAATCTTCACAATGAAATAAAATGTCCCGAATACAGCTTCAGGAACGCCGTCTGGCAAAGCATATCAAAATTGTTGCAGCAAAAACCGCGCCAAGACCCATCGCTTACATAATCCCAACATCGCCTCGTGATTTCACCTGGAGGCATCGCAGTCTTTCTTTACTCAACAATCAACTCGCAACCTACAACCACCACACAATTCAACCCCGCAGCCATGGCGGAGACAGCTGTCGTTGATCCTCCACATGCCACAGAGCCAACATCTCTACCAACAGAATCAGCCGAGCCAAGCGGCCTCACTCCCAGTGACGAAAATGCTCTCACCCAACCTTCAGAAACCGCCGTCGCGGCCACCACAGACGCCGATGGCACGCAAAAGAAGACAAAGAAGATAATCCGGCGAAAACGACGCCCCGCCCGGCCCCAGGTCGACCCTGCAACGCTTAAATCCGAGCCGCCCCCGCAGACGGGCACCGTCTTCAACATCTGGTACAACAAGTGGTCCGGCGGCGACCGCGAGGACAAGTATCTCTCGAAACACGCCGCGCCGTCACGCTGCAACATTGCCAAGGACAGCGGGTACACACGCGCGGACAAGGTCCCAGGCTCCTACTTCTGCCTGTTCTTCGCGCGCGGGGTCTGCCCCAAGGGCCATGAGTGCGAGTACCTCCACCGCCTGCCGACGCTGCACGACCTCTTTAACCCCAATGTGGACTGTTTCGGGCGGGACAAGTTCAGCGACTACCGTGACGACATGGGCGGCGTGGGCTCGTTCACGCGCCAGAATCGCACGCTGTATGTGGGGCGGATCCATGTAACGGATGACATCGAGGAGGTGGTCTCGCGCCATTTCGCGGAATGGGGCCAGATCGACCGGATCCGGGTGCTGACCTCGCGCGGGGTGGCGTTTGTCACGTACACGAACGAGGCGAATGCGCAGTTTGCCAAGGAGGCCATGGCGCACCAGAGTCTGGATCATAATGAGATTCTGAACGTGCGCTGGGCGACGGTGGATCCGAACCCGTTGGCGCAGAAGCGGGAGGCCAGGCGCTTGGAGGAGCAGGCGGCGGAAGCGGTGCGGAGGGCACTGCCCGCTGAGTTCGTCGCGGAGCTGGAGGGTCGGGACCCGGAGGCGCGGAAGAAGAAGAAGATCGAGGGCAGCTTTGGGCTGGAAGGGTATGAGGCTCCGGATGATGTGTGGTATGCTCGGACCAAAGAGTTGGAGGACGCAGGCAGGGCCGGCCAGCTTGAGGCTCCAGAGCAGCATTTGATGATCGAGCCGGCGCCGTCGTCCTCTTCCGCCGCCTTTCCGTCACAATCAGAGAACAGTGGTATCTTTTCAAGCTCAACTGTGGCAGCACTGAGGGGATTGGCCGGCGGCAATGTGACGACGCAAAAAGCCCCGGCGAATACTGGCGGTCCTCTTGTGGCTTACGGAAGTGATGATGATAGTGATTGATTTCTTCATGGCTCTCATAAAATCCATTGGTCTTGTGTACAACAGCAAAGATACCTCAAATTGTCTTCATTTGTTTCTGTTCTTGATTTTCATACTAGTCATATCGTTCGGGCGTTCATCTGGCGGGTATATTCGCTATCAAAACAATGAGAGGAGACAGCATACGCCTAATAAATGGAACTTCAATACAGATAGAACATAACATGGTACTTCATCACTCGTTGATCCTTTACTTTTCACTTCCACGCCCAAGGTCATAATACAGACACGACCCTGTCCGGTAGTTGTAAATAAAGGCATTGCTGACACTGTCGGGGCCATCATTCGCGCGACATTCATTGGAAAGGTCCAGTAGTAGTTCGTGGACCTGACTGAGGTACTTCCGCTCCGTCAACGGGGCACTTTGAATGACCGAGCGCCAGCTTTCTGGATCCGACAGGCGCGTATCCCTAATCGCTTCGAGTAAGTCGTCTCGAGTGTCAATAGCGGCAATGGGCCCGTTGATTGCCTTCTCGACTACCTCCCGGGCACGAACGAGAGCTATCTCCGGTTAGTTGAATTGTTCACGGAATGATGATAACTGCGAATATGACATACCAGACTCGACGATGTTTCTTCTGTTCGTCTTCTTGCTCCGGTGCTGAGAGGTCAAGATGCGTACGTCACTCGATCTTTCATTAGCTCCAGCGATCGCATCTGATTGACTTGGTAATCGCGATTGCCGCAGGTCGGGTGCGCCCTCGCGTTGCTTACGTGCACGTATCTCGTTCCGAAGCCAAGGGATGAGCTCGGAGCTCCTGATGTCGAGCTCTTCTTTGGGAACGAGACACCTCACTTTGAACCCTCGCTCCTTGCTATCTTGTTTTGCAATGACAATCCAGCTATGGTTGTGCTCTTTGTACTCAGAGAGGAGTTCTTCCAATGATGAAGCGTCGACGGCCAATTCAGCGCTGATATCGCTAGCCCACAAATCCTGCACAAGCTTGACACCCATCGTGCGCAGCACTGTCGCATCGAAGCTTGCAACAAGCACATCACACTGCCAATGTCAGGATAAAAATCAGGCACAAATGAAAGAATCTGACTTACCCTCCTGGTCTTCCAAAAAGCCCCAGCGTCCGATTCAACATGCTTGGTAGGTGCTTTCGTCGTACTTTTGATATACTCTAGCATAGCCGAGCCAAGTCTGTCCCAGCTCAGATTGAAGCCAACTGCATGTGTTTGAGAGCAGCTCGTTCGACCCTTCGGAGAGAATTCTTGCACCAACCGGTCGTACCGACCGCCAGCTGCAAACACGTCCCGTCGCTTAGTATCAAAAACACATTGAAAAAGGATACTGCCTCTGAAGAACTTGTCGTTCAGACTTCCAAGAGGATTGACATAAATCTTCCGTTTGACGTCGAAGCCTTGCAAGTACGTCACGAGTATGTTTATGCGAGCGAAAATGGGCGACAGT